ACCCGGCTTGGAAGGGAGGGAAAACGAAGGAGAAAAACATTGAAACACGGCCTGCTCTGCTCGAATGCGAGGTGGGGGGCGAGAAACAAAAAATCTAAGTGCTACGAAAGTGGCCACTCTACTCCGGTTCATCTAAAACCCCTCTGGCCAGCTTTGCCTGACGGCCATAGGAATGATCGGAAAGATAGTGTCAAAATAGTAGATTGCCATTTATTTCATTTGCCTCCACTTTCCCCCGAGAAAAAATGGCAGATGGTGGCACTACTCTGGCACAAGTTATTGTCTGCACTCCGATGAAGGCCCGCGGAGGGGCACAGGCAGTTCTGGGAGGTATTTCATAAAGAAGGAGAAAAAAATAGCACCATCGTAAGCCAAGAACTCCCTGCTGCTGTTAAGAGCCAAGCAAACAGTAGTGCAATTGAAGATTACAGAGCAGAGGATTGGAGAGGCAGGATCGGCCTGCCTCGGCCTGCTCAGTTGGGCCACGAGGGGTGGGGTGGGGGACAGAAGAGCTGGTAACTTGGCACAAGCAAGTATTGTCTGCTTTGTTGTACATTAGTGGAAGAAATTAATAATTTTTTGGGATGACGTAGTGTTCCTGGCAAGAGGGAGGGGAGTAGAATGTTAGCCTAGCATAACTAGGCAGAGACTGGCTTTGTTTTGCTGCACCCTGACTGCAAACACAGTCCTGGATTGGCATAGCTAACTGGTATTTGACCGTAGTCATTTTCACATCTTAAAGCAGATATGGTTGGTAGTACTGAGATTGAGAGCATTGCTGGGACAAAGGGTAGGATGTTGGATGGTTTCTGAAAAGCACAAGGAACGGGTGGGATTCAACCGGTGTTACTGCCTGTTCGCTGACTACGTTTTGCGTGCGTGCGTGTGTGTGTGTGTGTAAAAAGCCTTAAGTTGTGCCGTACAGAGAGCTGAAAAGTGCTGTGAGCAGGTGCACAGCATTTGAAAAGCCTTTTTTACTGCTTTTTCAACCTCAGCTGTGCAGTGCAAAGCAGCCAAGGTTAAAAAGCAGGAAATAAAGGACAGATAAGAGCCCGGGTGGGTGGAGCAAACAGCAGCAAACAGAGGACCGGTTCAGTGTCTGCTGCTCTTCAGAGCTACGGGTTCTTTAGAACTGGGCAAAACTGGTAGCATCTCATCCCTGAATAAGGCAAAATTCCACTCCTACATTGTATTCTGCTGTGGGCAGCACCAAGTTTGTGAGCAGCAGCAGCAGCAACAGGTAGGTTGTGCTACCACTGAGAAAGAGTCAAGCCCTGTCTGCTTTGTTACGCCACACTGCTGAGAAGCAGACCTGGTCTTTCCAGGCATGTGGTCTGATGGAAGGGCCTCTCAGTGCTACTGCTCAGCCACTCAGGTCAGTCGAGGAAAAGGAACATTCTGGTTGCCAAGCAACCATGTCAGGTTTTTATCTACCTCTTATGTAGCTCTCTAAAGAATGGGAAAGTGAGCACACCAGCTAAATATCTAAGTCAGGAAAACAGATGGGAAAGAGGCCAAATCAGCTTGGCATTGTGTTCCCCCTAAAGGGGGAGGGGGGGCTATTCAGAAGCCAGGGCAAATAAATGGATAAATGACAGTGTGAGCTAAAAAACCCTGCTTTGCTGAGGGAGAGGGAAAAAGGTTTAATAAAACTGTGCAGATGCAGCGGTATATATATGAACAACTGTACCGTATTTGTAACTCAGAAGTCCCACTGATTTCAATGGGATTTCTGTCCAAGTGAGTACCTAATTGCAGCCTTGTAAAACTAACCACTATTTATAAATAAAGGCTTGCTGAAAATAGCCTTTTCTCCATTAGAGATCCCTCCAAGTGAAAGAACTATAAAAGATGGTAGAGTTGATGTAATAATAAAAGCCACATATAAAAACAAAACTACCCAAACCTAAGAACAAACTAAATGAACCTGGCTGTTTATATTCCAGTTGATAGAGAATCAAGATGTGAAGAAAATGCTAAATTGACTTTGATCAGAGAAAAGATACTATTCGTTTCTTGTTGACTAGACTTTTCACACGAAATAGAAAAAATGATCTTATGATTTATTATTTTGATTAGACAGGATATAGAAAGAAGAGAGTTATGTACAGTAAAAGGAAAATATAGAGTTATAACTGCAGTGAATAAGATTGGAAGCTATTTGTGTGAAGAAAAATACAGTATTGTAGCTTTTAGAGCTGAAGGACAGAAATGATTATTGTTTCAGCATTCTAAGAAGTATAATCTTGTTAGGCAACTCTGATGAAATATCAGCTCTCTGTTTAGTACTTACAATGCCTTGCATTTATCGTAGGTACTGTAATAACTAAATCACTTCTCAGATAGATTAAAATGTGCATAATATCCCCATATTTTATTTTCCCATGAAAATTGGGCCTGGAAATGCTGAACATTCCATTCCAATATTGATTTATCCATTCTGATTTTTCAAAACCAGCAGAATTAAAAGCATTCCCCATCTTTACAGCCCACAAAGCAATCACAATCTTCATCAAATGAGTCCCCATCTTATTTGTTGCTCAGTATGTAGCACTGAAATTTAACGTAGAATTTGAAACCAGTATATGCATAAAGCTGTAGATGCCACAAAAATCTGGGCTAAATACATATTAATGACTGGATGTTAAAAAGTTCTTTACTCCCAACAAAACCTTATTTCTCGGTTTCCCATTTTGTTTAGGCATTATTTAGAGGAGGGGGAGCAGGAATTTTCTCAATTATATGCTGCAGTTCCCTCCATTTAAGCATGGAGTGGCCCAAATATGGCAGAGGGAGAGAACGTCATCTGATTTTAGCAGCAAAAAGAAATCTGGGGTAAGAATACTGAATCCTGTCCTGTATTCACTATCAATCACTTCCACCACTGGAGTTACTCAAAAATTCAAAATAGGCATTACTCTTAATTGTATATTAATAACCCAAATACAGTTTGTATTTTAATACTAGCAGGAGGCATGGGGGAAGAGAGTCACTGGGACTAAATTACACAGGGAAAGACAAACAGCCAGAAGGGAAACAGTTCCAATTGCTACCTGGAGAAACTTTTTCTCTATATAATAGAGTTGAGAAATAGATGTTTTTCACTGAGACTACAATTCATGAAAAAAGTAAACCTCCTTCATGTTGGCTCTATTGACTAGGTGTGCATATACAATAAAAAGATGCCTTGTTTCCTATTTACTTAGTAGACCTATCTGTTTAGGGCTTTGAGCAGGGCAACAACACAAGTGATTTGCCATGGTCTTCCAGAATCTTTTGACTTCCCAGGCTTACCTGTATCCCTAACATTTCCTGGTAATCCCTTCCAGGTTTCCTAACTAGATCTGAATTAGCTTAACTTACTATGGTCAGCTCGATCTGCAACTTAAAACAAAAACAAAAGTTATGAATGCAACTGGGGTAATTCTAATGTGACCCTTTTAAGAAGAAACTACATACTAAAATAATATACAAGAAGATACAAACAGTTTTCAAGACACAGTTTGTATGTGTCTCACCAATCAGTTGGCAGAGTTTTAAGCATCCCATCTAGTTGCTTCTTCAAGTTGCATAGTTCTGATATATCTTAAATCTTTATGGACAGCATGGTGATAATTAAACTTCATTGATGCCTCTTTAATAAGGTTTAAGTTTTCAGCACCATAATTTATGCTGGTCAAACAAATGAGCAGCAGGCCCATCCAAAAGTGATTATAAACAAAAATACTTCTGCTCCAAAGAAGGGGGAAATTATTACAGGTCCGCATTGCAATCCTTTCAGTCAGGGGAACTCAGTATTTTTAAAAAGTAGAAGAGAAGTCATGGCACAATATATTTAGTGGCTTTTATGGCAGTATTCAAATGTCTACTAATACTGTTCAGTCTCTGTGCATTATACCAAAGTTACGAATGTATATTCTACATTACTTCTTGCATCTTACAATTTGTTTGCTTTTGAAAGAATAATACCACAATAGATATGACCAATATTGAACTGCCCTTTGAAAATCATTGGGACAAGTGCAAGAATCTTAATATGGTTCTACCTCAGTATCACTTTTTCTATGTGTGCATAAAAGAAAGTCCTATATCAAATTACTACAGGATATATAAAAAGAGACAAATGCCAAATAACTCAACTTACCAAATAAGAAAAAAAAAACCTGTATCCAGTAGTACAGTCACATTTCTCCCCCCCCTCAAAAATTAGAAACTCTTGATCAATTCTATATATAGCACCATTTGTACTTCTTTATAGATTATTTCCCCCAATTAGTTACAGAAAACTGCATGTAAAAAAACCAAACAAGTAAGCCAACTTTATGCTACAGGGAAAAGCAAACATCCCTCTCTCCAGTCTTTGATATTTTCACTCACACTGCAATATATTTTCACATGGAAATTGATTGGTTGGTTATATTATTTAATCATCTCAAAAATAATCTTGAAAATAAAAGATGTATATTTGCAGTTCCAGCATCTCTTCCTTATGCTCAAGATAATCATGGAACAATTATTCTTATGTTTCTTCAAACTGCGAGAATGTGGGGGTATAGCATTAACCAAGTACTGTTCATCAAAACTCCCTCCATAGAAATATTAACAAACATAAAATAGATAACTAACATATCTTAAGTCTCCTTGCCATGCCTGTTACTCTACAAAATAAGATGCAAAATAAAAAATCCCAATATTAAATTGACAAGCACCTCCTTTGCATTCTAAAGTGGCACAGTCCCAGAAAAAGTGTTGTCTTGTAACGGTCTATGGCACTGTGCATACTGTACCTCATTCTCAAACTGTTGTATTACTCGTCTGATCTTGAGTAACTCAGCTAAAGATATTTGATCCTATTTTAGAAGGGGGTACTTCTATATATGGTAATCACATACCCCTCTATGTAGCCCAATTCCCCTCTTTCTTCCTTTTACTTTAGAATTACCTTGGAGAAAATTCAGGAAATGGATGCTGTAGTTGCCTAACAACTGCAGCCTAGACTGAAACCGTGACTAGAGATAGGACAACCAATAAATGCACAGATCCATACACTCTGGGTGTTACCCCATTTGATCCTCAATAGAAGATGATTCAACCCACCAAGTTCCCTCTTTCCCAGCAACTTTTAATTTAGGTGAACCTGGGAGTTTCTTGGTTGAGCTTCCTTGCTTGATAGCCTCTTTTAAGTGTGAAGTTGACCAAAACACTCCAAGAAATTCACAATCCAAGAAAATGGCAGAAAAGGCACTCAATGAGTAGTAATCAGGCAGGACATGGAAATCCCACAGTAGGATATAACCAATCTAGATGCTTCTGTGGAGTGTTAGCAGAGCCTTCAGGAAATGGGTAGGAGCAAGTCACAATATTGTTGAATATGACCATCCATTTGTGTCCCAATTCCCAAGTTTTTGCAAGGATCTCAAACTGTCCTGTTCCCAGAGTCCCTAGGAACTGAATCTTGCCGTCCATGGCTTCCCGAAGAAAAGAGTTTCCGATGCAGGCTCCACACCCAACGCTAAAAAGAAAAGGCAAATCAGATTCTAGAAATTCATAAAAAAATGTAAATATGTCTGTTGAACATCTATTCTTCCCTGTTAAGTATTTAATCTGCACATACTTTATATTTGAATCTTATTCATTCTCACATGAAATTTAATATGAGGTTTAATCCTTAATATCATTATGTATTAAATAGTACATAGCACTAATTAACATGCAATTAGAAAGCAGCACTTCGTAGCACTTTTTTTTTTTTAGCATGCTATCCATAGCATTTCAGCTCAGTTGCTTTCTAACTTGATCTCCTGCAGATACGTTCCATTTCTACTATTATCAGCTCCAATCAGCATCAGCAAGAGATGATGAAACTTGCAGTCTACAATACTGGGTGGCATCAAGTTGTTCACTATGTTACAACAACTCTGCAAGTTTGGTTGATATTGTTTCATTATCCAGATGAAGGGCAAGAAAACTCAGCTCACACTGTTAGCCATTATGTTAGCCAGCTGCATAGATATTAGAAGGTTTTTAAACAGCAATAGTGATATAAAGACAACTGCATAGCAGTGGCACACAGGACAGAGAAGCTATAGGACGGTGGAACACAAAAGGAAGAGCACCTGGACACAGAATCACTCATTTAATAGGGATGAAGCAGACATCCTGAAGTATCCCTGTAATATAGACTGAAAGAAAGGCTCTTGGGAATATTATGTGCTGCAGCTTAGGGAAATGGGGGTGGCACGGAGCAGATACAGGAACGTAGTGGGAGGTTGCACAAAGGCAGAAAAGTTTGGCGGGGTGGGCTGTACCTGGCTGCCCCAACCTCAGAGTGGGGTCACTGGTTCGCCGGCAATGCCAAAGCTCTGGCAAATAAAGAAAAAAACAAGCCATCAGAGATGGCCTAGTGAACCTTGGAGAGGAAGGAGTGGAATAGCTGAATCATACTATTTGGCATACAAAACATAACTCTTCAAATGGCCACCAGTAACAAAGATGGGTCTTTCATAATTTTGTGAAGGGACAGAAATGGCAATGATAGGTGAAAAGTCTTGCGGGGCACTCTTTCATTCAGGGCAGCTCACATCCTTAGTAATGATCTCTATAATCAACAGATTCAACAGCTAGAAATTTCTCTGATTCACAGTATTTCAGGTCGCAGTTACTTTTCCCCAGGGAATGAGAGCGGGGGGGGTCACTTCTAGGGGCTGTTGATTATAATAATGAGACATCTGGGTTGAGACCCTCCCTCTATATGTCTTTGAAAGCAAAGTTAATTCAAATAGAATGCCAGTCCAGCACCATTTCCCTTTCCCCACATAAAACCTGAAATAATACGGTCAGGAAAAGGCATGATCAGGTTAATGAAAGAAATACAAATCCTATCACCAAAAAACATTTCAGCACTAAGTAAACTCACCGACTGATGGTGTCCTAAAGCAGAACTGCTGCCAGGCAATGAACTTCTCCCCTGCCTAAGTGGTTCATGGTGGCTTGGGGAGGCTCCCTCTGACCCAGAGGTGTGAGCTGAGGGGAACACAGAACAGAGTTAAGCACCAGCAGAAGCAATTACTGATCTCTTGAGAGGGTTGATAGAAGAATAGTGATGCTACCTCTCGGGATGGGCTTGACATCTAAGTCCCATTCCTCTTCCTCAAAGTGGCCAGGGAGTGACAAACCAGGAGGGGGACCAGGGCCAAGACCCAGAGGAGCTAAGCGCTGAGAAGGGCAGGAGGACAAGCTCATTGAGACACTTGGCTGGGCAGCTAAGAGAAGTGAGAGGAGGGAAAAAAAAGAGACAAACATCCAAGGCATTTTGATTCAGCAGCCCTGTCCTTGAAAAGACCTCTCCCTCTAGTGTTTGTTCTCATCTCACAAACAGAAAATGTTATTTCAACCACATTTTTTGTGGCCTTTCTCCATCTTAAACTCAAGTCAGCCAAAATATTTTGGTTCGCTCTTTGCTTTCTGATTGCAGATAAAAAGGTTCTGATATTGATCCACCAGTTTTCATTGTTTGGAGATCTATTTACACTCTTCTCTTCCATACAATTCTTCTTTTGTGTATAGTAAAGGCAATAAAGCTACATTTACTTAGAGTTAATGCATCACTGCACTGTCTGTTCCAGTCTGCTTGTTACTGCTTTTTTCTTATCAGTTCTGAAGCAGCCAACTGCTTGAAATGTAAGGCCCCATCCACAGACGTGCAACTCCTCCCCCAAAAAAACAAAACAACAAAACAAAAATGGGAATGTATCAAGATCAGGCCTAACTAGAAACCTCAGTCACGATGATGCTGGGGATCAAATGACATCATCAAAAGTGTACCTTTGTTTCAAACTCCCTTGATCGCACAAAGTAGCATTTATTTTGCCTGACAGATCTAGTTCTTTAAATGTACGGGGATAGTGACACTAGATAACTGCACTGTCTTTCAAAATAAATTTATTGTTAATCTTTGACATAGATTTTATGCAACTTTTTCTCACTTTCTTTTCTTTCAAGAATAAAAGATTTTAAGAACCCCAACCCACCTACCGCAGCAAAACATTCCCCTGTTGAGCTGACCATCCTCAGTTAGGCATGCTCATACCTTGTCTCCAGAGCAGTTGGGCTATAATATTTGTCCACTGATGCTTGACTTCAGCAGAGGCTGCTTGCAATGTATAGGCCTGCCGGGATGATCCCCTTCCGAACCAAAGCTCAAAACGTAACCCACTAGAACCCACGCTCTCAGTCAAACCCATGGAAGCAGTCTATATGAGGAGAAGAAGCCATAGAAAATGTGGCAGTGTTCACAGTTCATAGTCAGATGCAATGTAATCTGGTTTTCATTTAACTGTTCTGCAGTAGCAATCAGTTGTAACTTATGCAATAAATCATTATTAAACACATCGTTCACTGCACTATAATGAACCAGATCTCTTATAAAGCCATCTCATTCCAGACAATAATTTCATCAGTGTGGATTAAAATAACCCCAAATTATACTTCCAGCCCCTAAAGCCTGGGAAAATATTATTCAGGATAATCACTTTACCCACCTGCAAGGCCTGTTTGCAGACATAGCCACCCTCAGCTCCTTTACATTTGGTAAAGAGTAGCAACTGCTCAAATAGGAAAACATGCCGCTGGCATTTACGGCGTCCAGACAACAGAATGAGTTCACCACGCTGAAGCAATGTCCCTTGTTCTGACAGTTTTATCTGCAAAGGAGCAGATAAAGGTACATATGAAATTAAGATTGCCATTCCCTCCAGTTCTCAGGAGAGGCGAGAGTGTTAGTTCCCCCTCAATTTGCCCACCAGAATTTTTGTGTTTGCTGTTTTTAGTATTTAGAGCTTTGCATAGTCCAGGGGTTGGCAATGTGCGGCTCCAGAGCCACCTGCTGAGGCTCCCTGTTGGATGATCTCACCACTGGCTGGCCCCACCCCTTGCCCTCTACTCGCAGTCACTCCTCACCTGAGAAGGGAAGGGTGACGGTGGCGAATGGAATCTCACTCCGTATTCCAGAGCAAGAGGGAAGCGACCCTCTACTAGCCTCTTCTTCCAGCTTTTCTTGGTGCTGCACACTCCAGGGAGACACATGACTTTCTTTCTGCCCCGAAACACTGGGCTGTCTGCAGCCGATGCTCCATGTTGTAATGGGCTCCAGGAGGAGGAGGGGCGCTGCAAGAGCAGCAAGAAGGCCATGGAGGCGGCGAGAGCAGCGGTGTCAGCTGCAGCCGGCCCAGCCAGTGTCTCGGGACAGAGAAAAAGCCACACATCTCCCCATATTCCACTCGCTATCTCCATGGCCTGCTTGCTGCGCCTTGTGCACCACACTTAAATTTAGCATGCTTCACAATGGGGGATACAGCATGCCCTCCTGCTCCTGGAGCCCATTATGATGCAGAGCATCAGCTGCAGCTGGCTCAGTCAGTGTCTTGGGGCAGAGAGAAAATTTTGTTGCCTCCCCAGTACATGCAGCAAGAAGGGCCGGAAGAAGGGACAAGTAGAGGGGCGCTTCACTCCCGCTTTGGAATTCGGAGCGAGTCTCCACCTGCTGCCGTCACCCTTCTCTTCGCCAGGAATGAGTGGGAGGGGAGGGTGAGGAGCGGGGCGGGGTGGGGCAGGCCCAGCCACTGGTGGGGTCAGCTGACAGGGAGCCACAGCGGTGGACAAAAGAGCTTCATTTATTTGGGAACTTGAAATGACTTCATTTAAATCATATGATAAAAAGCACTCGAAGAACATCCGCAAAACAAAAAACAAAACCCAACCACTGCCTATTTTTGGAAATGGTTCAAGAGGGAACACACACATACACACACACACACACACACACACACACGAGATATGAAAGAGAGAAAAAGAAATTAAACAGGGAGAGAAAGAAATGAGAGAGAGAAGAGAAAAGAGATGAGAGAGGGAGAAATAGGGAGAAAGAGATGAGAGAGAGAGGGACAGAGAGAGATGAGAGGGACAAAGAGAAAGAAAGGGGAAGAAAGATGAGAGAAAGGGAGAAAAATGAGAGAGATGTGGGAGAAAGAGAGATGAGAGAGGGAGAGAGAAAGACGGAGATGAGAAAGAGAAGGAGAAAGAGAGAGAAAGAAAAAGAGATCAGAGAGACAGGGACAGAGAGAGAGGGACGGTGGGAGGGAGTGGGAGAGAGAGGTTTCCCAGAGAAAAGAAAATACCAGAAGCCACAAAACCTGGATAGGTGTGGCTTGGGGAGGTCATGTGACTGGGTGGGGGTGAAGGATGTCAAATTGGCCACGCCCAGCAAGGTTTTGTGGCTCACGGTGTTTTCTTTTCTGTGGGAAACACGTTCTTTGCGTGTTTAAGGTTGCAGGCCCCTGGCATAGTCCAAGGACTCAAGAGTTTGGCAACAGCACAGAACTTTGCAAGTGTCAGAAAGGATTAAACTGATGGGTTTAGACAGGTGTCATGGGAGGAAATAGCACACAACAGTAAGCAGCCGGGAAGATGCAGCACCAGGTGATGGAAGTGCCCATGCGCTCACCTCGCAACCTCGGATATGCTCTATGGCCAGTAAGTCTCTGCCTCGCTGCTCCTGTGCCTCCAACAGTTGCTGGGCCTCCTGTAGGGCTTGGCGGTCAGGCCCCTGCTCGAGCTCACATTCATGTAGAAGTTCACCCAGGAAGCGCCGGTACCGCTCCAGTTGCTCCAGAGGCACCTGTAAAGTGTATGCTATTTGTCCATCCTCACGTGGCTCCATCAAACCTTTCTGCAGGAAAAAGATGATAAAAGCAGAAGGCTAGAATCAAACACTAGAAACAAACCACTCTGGTGTTACCTGTTATACCAACATTCCCTGAAAAACCCCACAATTCAGATCTCTACAATGAATGAAACTATACAAATGCCTCAAAGTCAAGCTTTTGGGGGTGGGGGGGTGTCAGCAGGCTGTGCAGAATCAGACTCTCAATGCAACTATAAATATGCCAACCTCAGGGACACCTGATCTAATGAATAAAAAGGGCCTCTTATGAACAGAAGCAGTTTCTTTAGCAGTCAAGCGATTCATCCGGCCTTTCAAGATAAAAAGGGAAATTCCATCTGTCTGCCACGTGGCCGCGGCTCATTTACCTTGCCAGTGCTTCGAAGCAAAGCCAGGGCAGCCTGGAACTTGTGGTGATCTTTGGCATAGGTTGCATACAGTTGCAGCTCTTCTCTCTGAAGGTAGGAAAGAGAGAGAGAGAGACAGAGAGAGACAGAGACTCTCTCATTCATCAGTGGAGCAACAGTCAGGCAAATTCCAGGAAAACTGGCTACTGGAACAAAATCATCTCTCTAGCTTGTTGGACAACGTATGTTGTTTTTTCCCTTATTCCCTCCATTCTTTGTAAGACAAATGTTACCTCAAGAAAGCTCAAAACAAAGACTGCTGTCTCTTTCTCTCAGCCTTGCTGCTTTTCAATTCCATGCATTAATTATGGAATTAACATTCCTTATCAATTTATTTCCATGCTAAGGATAGCTTGTCCTGATAATTTGTACTGTCAGACTTATAAAGGCGCAGGAGAAAACATTTTAATAAGGTGATAGGCTCTTTGAAAAAAAGAGGTATTTTTATTAATAGAGAGAAACAAAAACTTAGCAGGCATGTAGGTGAAGGTTTCCTATAATAGAACAAAGAACATGGAGAACACAAGAATGTATAATTCTGACAAAACAGAAGGTCAATGCTTTGGATCGAAAGGCTTTCCCAAACAACAGACCAGAAAGAGAGGCAGTTTGGCCATTATTTTGCTTTCTGAATAGCCTTAAAAAACAAAGATAACCTCAATTTTTTTTTAAGGGAGGGTGCTTTTACTTAGCTTTTTAAAGATGGACAGCTATGCATTTACTTTGAAACAGACTGATATATCTTCAGGAATATTAACTATTTATCCAGCTGCTGTATTGGAGACTGAGGTTGTTAGTTTAATTAATTTGAGTTAATTTATTCTAGCAGCTCCCTCTGCATGCAGAAAGCAACTAAAGGTTGGAGCTACCATATCTTGGATACAAAAATTAAGATGGCCACTACACAGCAGCAAGGAGGAAGTCTTCTGTACTTCTTTGCAATCATCCAGTGATTGTCTGTAGCTTTGCAGCCCAGATCTGGTAGCCTTATCAAAAAGTTAAAGACAAAAGAAAAAAAAAGAAAAAAAGAAGGCTAGAAGTTGAGAGAACAATGACAGTCAACATTGTGATATCGGCAAACTACTTATGTACAGGTAATCTTCAATTTACAACCACAACTGAGCCCCAAACTTCTGCTGCTAAACAAAAGAAGTTATTGAGTGAGCTTTGCTCCATTTTATAGCCTTTCCTGTCACAGCTGTTAAGAGAACACTGCAGTTGTTAAATTAGTAACACAGTTATTAAGTGGATCTGGCTTCCCTGTTGATTTTGCTTGTCAGAAAGTCATAAAAGATTATCACTTGATCCCGGGACACTGCAACCACCATAAATATGAACCAGTTGCCAAGCATCCAAATTTTTATCATGTGACCATGGTAATGTTGCAATGGTCATGTGGAAAATGATCATAAATCACTTATTTCAGTGCCATTGTAACTTCAAACAGTCACTAAATGAATGGTTGTAAGTCAGGGATTTTTGAGAGTCATGCTCTACTCAATGGAGATTTTACCTGTTATTAAGGACTTACGTATTGATATTTTGAAAGCCAGGATGATTCACTGGGTTGGCATCAGATCCACCCTGAGCTACCAATATTCACTGGGTGACCCTGGACTCTCCTCAGTCCAATTTGCCACTAGTTGTGGGAAAAACAGGAGGAGGGAATGCTACACTCCCTATTTTCAGCTCCTATACAAAGGGGGGAAGGATGCAAATTCACAAATAAATAAATATTGTTGATTTTTAAAAGAATGGCCTTATACACAAAAGCTATTGGAAATCTATTCTCTCTTCCCTAAACTTTGGTATAACACCGACAGACTCTAGTTATAGTGGTTGAGGAAAAGGCAACTCTGTATGCTCAGAGGAAATCTCTGCTTCACTGCTACTTCATATATGCCAGAATATATTTTTTAAAAAAGCTTTTCAGAACCAAGAGATGGTCATGTGGTTAAGGAAGCTTTGCCAGTGGATGGGTGAGAAAGGAAGGAAAGAAGGGGGTGGAATTCTGACACAGGAAATGGGTCCCAGCATGCAGCAGGTGGAGTAGCAACTAATGAAAGGAAGCACTCACGTGACGCAGGAAGCAGCTGCCAATGCGTGATGGGTGGCTCATGCACCCCTCCAACTCGCTCAGGAGGCAGCTGGAATGGAAGGCCAGGAGCCGGTCCCGCGTGGCCCGGAGGGCACCGCCCAGGCATCTTAACTCAGCTGTCCAAGCCTGTCCCCCAGGCTCCTGAGACAGAGAAAGGGGCTGGGTAAGGGCACCCACATACTCCCGCTCGCACTCCAGCAGCTCAACCAAAAGCTGCTGTTGGACCCTGAGGAGAAAGAGGGAAGCAGGGTCACATTCAAAGTCACTCAGCCATACTTGAACCATCTGGTGACAGCCAAGTCTGTGAAGCGAGAAATGTTACAACACATCTGGCAACAGAACATCAGCACAAGGGTTATCAGCTGCTTCTGTCCCAGACTGCTCCTCTCCCCTCCAAAAACAACAACAACAACAACAAAAACACGTTTGGTCAGTGTTTTGAACCATGTTACAGATTTATAAGTGTATAATTTCATTTTAATTGGGTGTGATTCTGGTTCAAGGTGTTCCCATGTTGTTTTATATATTTAAAATATTTATGTATCACTTGTCATATGATGTTCTGTAGTGTTTCTCCAAGCATTACGCAAAATTTAAAATGTCTTTGATTGCATTGGGATGTAATCAAAGCATCTACATAACAAAGTAGCGTATTCAGAGAAGGGACATCAAATCTTGCACAAGTATAATACCTTACTGCTATTCATTAAAACAGCTCATTATTTTTCAGATTTCTGTGCTAGGCTGGGAAAAAGATGCAGTTGCTTTAAGATTAGCAATGAGTCAGCTCATTAAGGTAGCAGCATTCTTTTTTTTAGGTTTGGGTAGAAATCTAAAATGCAACTAGTTGCTTTAAACAATAGCAGAGAGATGCTGCTTTCATCAATGATTTTCTAAGCATGTATAATCCTAATGCAGAATAGGAACACACAACAATCAGGAAATAGTATAAAGAATAAGACTGTAAATTTTATTACATTATGATGTGGCTGACCAGTGTGCTAGCAGATTAGCTATTGATCATGAATTTTGGTCACCACAGAGTTGGCAGAGTGAAGGATAGCTTATCTTCTCTCAAGAACAGCTCATTATCAATTCTCCATAAAAACATGTGTTACTAACAGAATATATGACAATGAGCTTTTTAGAGCATAATTTTTAGGGGACTGTGCCCCATGTAAATGGCAGAGTAACCAAGGTATAAGAAATCACTTGGGCCTTGAAATCCAACTCCCTACTTACTGTTAGAATCCAAATTTAAGCCTCCCAAAAAAATAGTTGTCTAGCCTTTGCTTGCACATAATTAGTGGGCAATTGTTTCTGCTACAAGTAGTTTTTCCTCTAGCATTCAATCGGAATCTGCCTTATAAGTTGAATTCATTATTTGGCATTCTACTTTCAGGACTGAGGAAGAATAGGTCTTAGTTTTCTTTGGTGTGATAATCCTTTCAAGTTATAATTTCATGCTATTCTACTCTCCCCTCCCCCCCGCCCCTGCATACTTCTCAAGGCTAAACATTTTCAATTCCTTCAATGTCTCATAAAATTTTGTTTGAATTCCCCAAATAACCTCATTGCTCTTATCTGAATGGGTTCCAGTGTGTGTTTCTTAAAGCATCATGCCCAGAGTTGGATACGATACCTGAAGCCTGACTAACACAAAGCAAAGTGATGCTCATATTGAGTTGGAAAGAACTATTTAGCTCACCAAGGACAACTCCAGTGCTTAGTGCAGGAATCCAAGTAAAACCTCCCCGACAGATATTTATCAAGCTTCTGTCTGAGAACATCCTGTACAAGGAAGCTGTCTAGGTAATTGATCTGTGGAATTGCTCTTATTGTCTGAGAACTTTCCCTAATATTCAGTCCAAATTTTGCTCCATGCCATTATTATACTACCCTCTGAGGTGACAAAGAACAGGTCCTGAAGAGAAGAAGCCATTTAAAGTTTCTGTTCTAGTAGCAGAATGTCTTGAATCAAACCTTGTGTATCCACATTTTTTTTAAATGAAGCCTCCAGGCAATCAACAACTTTTTAATCCTACCATTCTGTTGTGGAACAGCTAAGCAAAAGAATAGCCACAAATTCTCTTGAGCTCCTACTCACCCAAGGCAACGCCTTCTTTCCATGCGAGGTGTGGCCCCCCAAGGTGCTTCAGCAACATGAGTTCTGCTGCGTCCCAACAGCACATGTTCACGGGGGGAACAGCTCCTGTCTGCCAGTTCCCGGCTGCTTACTTCCAGGCCACGTATATGCACACTAGGGCGACCCGGATCACTCAAGGCTCGTAATGCCAGGTTATTAGCTGGAGATGCAGGTGTTTTGGAAGTGATGAGGGGCCCCTGGCTTTTCTTCTTGCCGTCTAGGGCATTGCTTCGGGCAGGAGAACAAAAAGGGGAGCCTTTGGGGCTGGTAAGTGGCTGGAAGAGAGAAGTTAAACTGCAAGAGGAACCAAATTTGGACCCAAGCAACAAGCCATGCTTTGATGAAGAAGCAGCAGCAGCAGCACTGATGCTGCATGCCCGGGCTCGGGCTCGGGGAACAGAACTGTCTTCAGGCGTGACCTGTGACTTCCCTGAAGATCTAGGGTTTTGTAACAGTTTTTTCTCCAAGGATGTTCTTTCAGCTAGTCCCTCAGCTGGTCTCTCACCCTCTCTCTTCTTTTCTACACTGCTATCACCAGACTGAAGGCATGTTTTGCCTTCCTGCTGAACCTATGGAAAAAAGAGAGATTAGAGGAAAAAGGTAAAGGCACCCTTGGTCAATCCCAGATGCTGCCTTCACTGTTTCTTTTAGCCACTTTACTAATCCACTGAAATATGGTTTAGAAAACCAGGAGCCTTCCAGCTTTGTGGTCTGCATTTTCCAGGATAGTTAGCAATGGCTAGAATTAGGAAAGGCTGATTTAAACTTTTTTCAGCTTTTGAGGAAGGATGAATTCATTACATTCTATCATTATGGCATTTCTGCCATCACTGGGAACACCTATCCTCATTCAGTAACTCCTACGCAGTTTTTTTTTCTCACTTCAGTCAGCTAACTCCCAATTCCTCAGAGCCACTTTACCTCCCACTCATCTCAAGTCTAAAGAAAATTGGGCTTCTGAGGCAACAGTCTCCACAGCCATTCATCTCATTCAACAATCCCTAGCAAGAAGACTCAGGATTTCAAGAAATCATAAGTCTTGACTGCTCATGAGTGTATTACCAAGATAAAAAAAAATGAGGAAAGGAAAGCTTTGTTCCTGGAATTTGTCCATTCCATTTGGATAGGATAACTGCCTAGCTTCATTTTTAAAGCTCCTATATTGGGTACGAACTTTAAGTCTAATTATTCCCTTTGCTTAATGACACTCACTACAGCCAATTCTTCCCAGAGGAACAAATCTTAGAAATTAATTACCTGTATGTTCTTCTTCTCCTGCTGCAATAACTCAAGACACCGGTTGCTGAGTTGGACAAGTCCATGAAGGGCTTCATCCACCTCTTGATACAGTCTTGTGGCATCCATAGCTTGCATACTACAAGATGGGGAAAATATTACTTTGGGGAAGCACAACATAAAAAAGAATATTTGCTCAAAAGGGAAAAATTAATCTCAGAGAGGACCCACTTGGACATAATGAATTAATTTCCAAATGCTGATGAACTACAATTCCCAGCAGTTCTCACCAGAGTCTCCAATGTATCCTAAGAATTACAGTTCATGAACAGTTGGGTGGAGGGACACCAACTGCCCACTGCTTGTGTTTTAAAGGGCAAATGTTTTTAGAAAAGCATTTAGATAAACATCTAACAAGAATTATCTAAATATTTCTTCATTATCTATGAAAAACAAAGACCAAGGAGAAGGAATTGGCTTGAAATTTAACATATTTCTAGGCTGAGGTGCTTACAAGGGTGTTTTGTAGTTTTTTTTGTTTTTGTTTTTCTGATGGTTTAAAACAAGGCAAATGTAATTGCCTCCCCACTTCCCTTCTTAAGTTTTAGGAACAAACTGTTGTCATCTGCTAATGCATACAATACCTTCTTAATGGACTTTCAAAAAAATTCTTGTTTTTTATGGGAAAAAGATTTTTGTGACTGCCCTTTTTAAGATTAAAAGCAAAGGCAAAGGAATATAACCCACAAAGAGACATAGATGTAGAAAAATTCAGATAAAACACTGCTCAAAAAAAATAAAGGGAACACAAAAATAAGACATCCTAGATCTGAATGAATGAAATATTCTTATTAAATACTTTGTTCATTACATAGTTGAATGTGCTGACAACAAAATCACACAAAAATTATCAATGGAAATCAAATTTAGCAATCCATGGAGGTCTGGATTTGGAGTTACATTCAAAATTAAAGTGGAAAATAACACTACAGGTTGATCCAACTTTGATGTAATGTCCTTAAAACAAGTCAAAATGAGGCTCAGTAATGTGTGTGGCCTCCACGTGCCTGTATGACCTCCCTACAATGCCTGGACATGATCCTGATAAGGTGGCAGATGGTCTCCTGAGGGATCTCCTGCCACACCTGGACTAAAGCATCCCCCAACTCCTGGACAGTCTGTGGTGCAATGTGGCGTTGCTGGATGGAGCGAGACACAATGTCCCAGATGTGCTCAATTGGATTCAGGTCTCGAGAACGGGCGGGCCAGTCCATAGCATCAATGCCTTCGTCTTGCAGGAACTGCTGACACACTCCAGCCACATGAGGTCTAGCATTGTCATGCATTAGGAGGAACCCAGGGCCAACTGCACCAGCATATGGTCTCACAAGGGGTCTGAGGATCTCATCTCGGTACCTAATGGCAGTCAGGCTACCTCTGGCGAGCACATCAAGGGCTGTGCGGCCCCCTAAAGAAATGCCACCCCACACCATTACTGACCCACTGCCAAACCGGTCATGCTGGAGGATGTTGCAGGCAGCAGAACGTTCTCCACGGCGTCTCCAGACCCTGTCACGTCTGTCACATGTGCTCAGTGTGAACCTGCTTTCATCTGTGAAGAGCACAGGGCACCAGTGGCGAATTTGCCAATCTTGGTGTTCTCTGGCAAATGCCAAACATCCTGCACGGTGTTGGGCTGTAAGCACAACCCCCACCTGTGGACGTCGGGCTCTCATGCCACCCTCATGGAATCTGTTTCTGACCGTTTGAGCAGCCACATGCACATTTGTGTCCTGCTGGACGTCATTTTACAGGGCTCTGGCAGTGCTCCTCCTGTCCCTCCTTGCACAAAGGCGGTGGTAGCGGTCCTGATGCTGGGTTGTTGCCCTCCTATGGCCTCCTCCACGTCTCCTGATGTACTGGCCTGTCTCCTGGTAGCACCTCCATGCTCTGGACACTACACTGACAGACACAGCAAACCTTCTTGCCACAGCTCGCATTGATGTGCCATCCTGGATGACATGCACTACCTGAGCCACTTGTGTGGCTTGTAGACTCCGTCTCATGCTACCACTAGAATGAAAGCACCGCCAGCATGCAAAAGTGACCAAACCATCAGCCAGAAAGCATAGGAACTGAGAAGTGGTCTGTGGTCACCACTTGCAGAACCACTCCTTTATTGGGGATGTCTTGCTAACTGTCTATGCTTTCCACCTGTTGTCTATTCCATTTGAACAGCATGTGAAATTGATTGTCAATCAGTGTTGCTACCTAAGTGGACAGTTTGATTTCACAGAAGTGTGATTGACTTGGAGTTACATTGTGTTGTTTAAGTGTTCCCTTTATTTTTTTGAGCAGTGTATAATTAGCACTTCAGCCACCTTACTATGGTTATACACATGTAACCAAGAAATTGTTTTAAACTGTTATTCCAGCCTTCACATAAAGCATCAAATACAATCACCTCCTGATGTCACTTTATTATACAAATTCACAGGAGAGCTCATTGTAAAACAGTGAACAGAACTTAAAAATTGTTGGGATTTTTTTCACCCGCAGGTAATTTTATACACCTTAGATAACCAAAAGGAATGTGGAATGTTTTTAAAAATAGGCAAAGAGCATCTGTATAAGTAGTCATTGACTTACAACCATAGTTGAGCTCAAAATTTATGTTGCTAAATGAAACATTTGTAAAGTGAGTTTTGCCCCATTTGTGACCTTTCTTGCCACAGTTGTAAAGTAAATTATTACAGTTGTTAAGTTAGTCACGTGGCTGTTAAGTGGATCTAGCTTCACCACTGACTTTGCTTATCAGAAGGTCACAAAAGTTGATCACATGACCCTGGGACACTGCATCAATCATAAATATGAACCAGTTGCCAAGCATCAGCATTCTGATTCTGTGACCATGGGGATGCTGCAACGGTCGTAAGGGTGAAAAATGATGTCACTTTTTTCAGTGCCATTGTAACCCTGAATGGTCACTAAATGAACTGTTGTACATCGAGGACTACCTGTATTATCTTCTCAAACTGGCCCTCACCTGCAGGGTCCTGATGGAGGTAGCCGTGCTAGCAAAGAGCCTCCACGGCACTGGAGCTCCAGTAAACGAGGCTCTGAAAGCAATTTCTGCATAGTGTCCTGATGCAAGGTGATTTGAGCTGAAAGTTCCTGCAAAGATGAAAAGCTACAGATGATAACACAGCAAAGGGTAATAGACAGGGCCAACAAAATGAGAAGTATGCCCCCACAAAGACTGACAAGAGAAAATTAACAAGCCTCATGCCACTCTAAAAGAAACCCACTGCTTTGTACATTCCATGCTTTAAAGATTAATGAATTTGCTATATTTGTATTATTTAGCTTGTTTCTTTTGGTCACAGGGAACAGCGAGCATCTGTTTGCTTGGAAAACTATTTCCAATGAATGACCTAGTTCTTATGAATAAAGGTTTATTTTTCACTGAGATGGTAAACATTAGTTGGCTTGTACCACTTCTAATTGAAAATGTGGCTCTTAGTACTGACTGCCTCTTCACTATAAATAAAAATAGTCCTTTAAAAAACCTGCAAGACTACAATTTTATATGCCAGATATCTTTATTGTGTTCTCTGAATAATGTGCCGCATGATTCTTAATGATAAAAGCCAGCCTGGTGACTTTGGGCCACTCACTCTCTCAGCCCAACCCACCTCACAAGATTGTTATGGGGGAAAATAGGAAGAGAAAGTTGTGTTGGATATGTTTGCTACCTTGAGTTATTTGTAAACATAATAAAGGTGGGATACAATAAATAAGTGCAGGGATAAATAAAACTTGTGGTCTAAAGTGGTACAGACCAGCCACTCTTTTACTACTTCTGTGAGAACTGTTTTGATCTTATGAATGTGGAAATACATCATTGAGGTTCTACAGGGACTAGAAGATCTTAGAAAGATTTTTTTCTGGTGGAAAAAGGTTTTTTCAAATGCAGCTTCTTTAGAGTCATCAGATTTATATTGGGATTCAATACAGAATAAGTGAAGTATGTGCAAGATCATTAGGAAAGATTCCAATTATCTGCTCTGTCCAGTTTTGGATACTCATTGCAACTATCATGTGAGTAAACAGGCTGATAGCACGTGGCAAGATAAGGCAAGTCTGTTATCTGCAACACAGACAGTATATCATTTACCAATCTGATAACAAGTGGAATGGAATAATAGATAAAATGTGAAGAAGGAGAAAAGAAAGTATTAGAAGGATAAAATGAGCAAAAAGAAGGTGCTCTCTGAGGCAAGTGTCCCCAAGTCGCAGGCCATGGACCAGTACCAATCCATGGCCTGTTAGGAAATGGGTTGTTCAAGCAGCAAGTGAGAGAGTAAAGCTTCATCTGCTCATGCGCAGGGTTTAAGTTGCACATGGAACCATTCCCCCCTGCCATTTGTGGAAAAAATATCTTCCATGAAACTGGTCCCAGTGGGGACTGCTGCTCTAAAGCGTTTATGTGTGAGACTCAAGAACAGTTTTCCTAGGACCTCATACCTCACAGCACCAAATAATTTAGAATAGGCTACAGTGTGATCTTATTCAGAAATGAGGTCCATTATGATGCTCAACATGATTTGCTTTAAGATAATATGAATCCAGTTGGAAGACCAAGAATTTATGATATATTTATGAATTTGTAAGAGCAAACCCTATTCTCTACTAGCACTGATGATGTTACCTAGTTTGGTAATGAAAACAGAAAAAGAAAAGATCCAAGCTCAGAAAGCCCCAGTTTGAACCCTGATCTACAAATATTCTCTCTATTGGTATTTATCATAAAGTCATAAGTAGATATATGTATACATTCAGAAATCCATACAACTTATTGTGCATCATTAATATTAATATGAGTATTTGTACTGTCTCTTATTTTTCATATACTTTTGCCTACTTTTAGCGAAAAACACAGCCTGCCACAAATACACATATTGCTGATTTCAAATGATAACCCAAACTCCTGCTAAAGCGTCTTTGCTTAAAAATCAACTATTCATATATTTAATTATTGTATCAATACAAAAAGAATTAAAACAATCTTTCATTATACATTTTCATACAGTATATTGGAGAAGAAAACAGAAGAATCTACCTTAGGCTGCTTCTAATGGTGTCCATGCCCACAAAATGTCTGAAGTCTCATACCATTTGGAGCAACATTTTGGAAAATATTAGTGGTCCAAATGGTGGGTCTCAGGTATGAAAACTGCTCAGGGTTGATTTAATAATATTTCAGTAAATTTTAAAGTAGCATTGTTTTATTTGAATTTCTGGGCATTCCATAAGCTATTTAGAGTGTTGGTAAATACTCCAGAGGGGAGGAGCTAGTGTCGTGACGGTACGGTTTGCAATCGAGCTCTAAGATTGCAGCCGATATCTTCGCCACTGGCCGGTCCAAACGGACCTAAACCGTCCAGTAGGGACGGTTATCTTGAGGGGTATACCCTGTGGATCCCAGGGACACCACAAAGTCCCTGGTTGACCCAGGAGAAGTCCCTTTTGTCGGCGGCGGAGAGGCAGCCCCAAAGCTGCTGAAGTCGGGGCAGCTCCGGAAAGGAAGAGGCTGAAAGAGAAAGTGTGTCGGCTGGGTGAGAAACTTTTTTTTTTTTATTAACACTTTGAGGCTTGAAAGAACACTCTGATTATAAGAAGAAATCTGTGAGATTTTTGACAAAACTGAATAAGCGGCGTTTTTTAAAGGGAGACGTCAAAGCGAGGCTTTATTTTTCTGAGGTTCTCGCGGGTATTTGTATGTGGATCTTTGGTTATTCGGGTTTTCTCCCACGACCACGGACCAGAAGCCGCACTGCAGCTGCATCACTACCCACTTCAAACCCCTCCGAGCCATACATGAAGCAAACTGACACCCACTATGAAGATGCAGCACGACCACGAACTCGAAGCCAAACAGCAAGATCACAGCTCACCAACTCAAATCCCCCAGCAACTAAGACTAACCTGAGCACAACCAAGCCCCCACCTGAACAGAACATGCCTCCAGCCAATCAGAACACGGCCAACCTCCCAACCAATCAGAATACAGCCAAACCCCCTACCAATGAGAACACACCCCCACCCAATCAGAACACAGCCAAGCCCCCACCCAATCAAGTCACACCCCCACTAGCAGTTAAAAGGAAGCAGCAGCTGCAATCTCACATCACTCTGAGAAGCACAGAGCCGAAGAAAGAAGCCTGAAGATGATGAATGAGACTTCATCGAAACGTTGCCTAGATACTGCCAATCTTACGTGGGAGAAAACCCGAATAACCAAAGATCCATATATATATAGAGAGAGAGAGGCTCCCTTTGGTTATTTTTCTTTTTGTTTTTATATATATATATATATATATGTATACATCTTCTGTTCTTTTTTAACCCCAATTACGCTTTTCTGGGAGGAGGGGGGAAAGTGAGAATTAAGAAACTTTGTAACACTGCCAACTAGAGGCTTGGAAATATTTTACTTGAAGTGGAGAGAACTATGAAAGACCTCTTCTCAAGGACATTTTAACTTGATAAGATAGAGGGAAGAGCGCAGCAGAATACAGGTGCTCTTTTGGATTTCTATCAACAATTAAATATCTGAGGTTTGGCTTTGAAGCTTGTGGGGAAGAGAAGAGAGTCATAACAAGAGCCTTGGACAATTAAACGAAGTGCAGTGTGTTGTTTCTTTTTTTTTTTAATCTTTTTTTAGTTCCGCTACCCCTCCTTACCAGCATTACTGTAAACTTTTATTTTAGCAATGTTTTTATTCTTACCTTTTATTTTAAAGGGGAAGCCTTAGAATTTCTCATTTTTATTTTTATTTTTTTTCCCTTTTTCATTGGGATTTTTGCTCTTTCCATCTATGCTCTTGGATTATTTTGGTTCCCCTTTTTTTTAATTGAGATTTTCTAATTGGGTTAAGGTATGAAGATCCTGAAGAAATCTTTCTTTTGCTCTGTTCTTTTTTATTATTATTATTATTGGGTTTTCTCCTTCTCCTTTTTATTCTTTATTGTGGATTATTTCATAATTGGATTAGGGTCTGGAAGAACCTGAAGAATCTTTTCTTTTTTCTTTTTTCTCCTTTACTATTGGGCTTTTTACCATTGGACGTTTCCATTTTGGATTATAATTGCCTACCTTACTAATTGGATTAAAACTTGAAAGAATTTGAAGATTTTGAACCATTTAAAATGAGTAGGAAACTCATACCTCCAGGTGCTTCTACATCTACTTCTGCCTCCCCACCATCTGGAGGACAATGTTTAATTCAGGCAATGTTAAAGCAAGACAAAAAACAAGAAAAAGTAACTTTACAGATGATTATGCAAGGAATCCAAGATCTTAAGATAAAAACAGACACCACTGAACAAAGAACAGGGAAGACTGATGAAAAAGTGGAAAATATTCAACAAATGATGGTGAAGTATGATGAGAGACTCCAAAAAATCGAAGAAGAAGGTAAACGAAGAGAGGAGAAGATTGGAAATATTGATAGCAGACTAACAGTGGTTGAACAAGATAAAAGTGGGATGCTGAAGTGGGAGATGGAGAGGTCAGAATTCTATCTCAGATTTCAAAACATAGAGGAAGAAAAAGGACAAGATTTGACTGTGATAATGATAGAAATTCTGGCTGATGCTTTGGAAATAACAGAGGAAAAGATGATGGATGGAGTAGATGAGATATACCGAGTTTTTACAAGATATGCGATGAGAAATAATCTACCCAGAGAAGTTCACATCAGATTTATTAAAAAATCCATCAAAATACAAATTTTACAAGCGGCAAGAGAGAAGATGTTGAAATATAAAGGCAAAGAAATCCTGGTCTTAAAACAAATACCCAGAAGAGTGAGAGAGATGAGAAGAGAATATCAATTTTTGACCAAAGTGCTATTGAAAAAGGAGGTGAATTACAGATGGCTGATTCCAGAAGGACTGATGTTTACATGGCAAGAACAGAGACACAGAATTGATTCAATCGAGAAAGCAGAACTTTTTTACGCAGAATTTTTTGGAAGGAGAGAGGAGGAGGCAGAAAAAGAGGTCTCATTAATTGAATTCCAAGAGGAACAAATGGAGATTGAAAAAGAAGAAGGCGCAGTAGATGGACAGATGGATATCAAAGACCAACGTGAACCAAGATCTACGAGAGCTGCCAAACCTAAATATAAAATATAATCATGGAAGAGAAAAAACTGATTACAATGAATATAAATGGACTGAACTCAGCTGCTAAGAGAAGGAAGATTTTTCATAAATTAGGGATATTAAAATTTGACATAATTTGTTTACAAGAAGTACACATTAAAAAACAACATGAACAATTGTTAGTACAGCCAAAATTAGGGAAAATATTTACTTCTTTGACCCAATGTAAGAAAAGAGGAATGGTTTTATATATTAAAGAGGCCACCCCAGCAAAATTGATTTACACTGATGAAGATGGAAGAATATTAATGGTGGAAATAATGGACAATAATATAAAAATACTCTTGATTGCAATCTATGCTCCGAATGATAAACAAGAAGAATTCTATAAAAAATTACACATGAAAATGACTGGACTGGACTATGCTAATATAATTATGATGGGAGACTTTAATGGAATTGTGGATAATAAACTGGACTATATAGCAACAACAGCAAAGCACAATAGAAAGATTCTTCCTAAATCCTTTTTTAAAATGACAGATGAATTAACTTTAAAAGATATATGGAGAGAAAGAAATGCTAAAACCAAACAATATACTTTCTATTCAAATGGACATTTATCATAGTCCAGATTAGATATGATTTGGATCTCAACAGAATTAATATCTAGTGTTCAAGAAACAAATATTGAAACAAGTACTTGGGCAGACCATAACCCAATGACAATTAAATGGAAGGGACAAAAAAAAAAGATCGAGATGGACGTTAAATAATACTATTTTAAAGGAGAAAGATTTTATACAATGGATCGAGAAAGAACTGGCTTTTTTCTTTAAAGAAAATAAAAAAGAAGATACTTCAGCGCAGAATGTTTGGGATACAATGAAGGCATATGCTAGAGGATTGATAATAGACTACATAAGAAAAAAGAATATTAGGAAAAGGCAAGCCACAAAAGCCTTGGAAGATGAGTATAAAAGACTTGAAAAAGAATTACAGAAAATGCCACAGAAAAAAGATATTAAACTGAAATTGGACATAACTAAACATAAAATGGGCTTAATAGAGAAAGAAGAACTGGCACAGAAAATTAGGAATGCTAAACAGAATTATTTTGAAGATGCAAATAAGCCAGGTAGATGGCTAGCATATAAATTCAGAAAGGAGAAAGAGTCAAGGAAAATATCGCAGTTAATAGATGACCAAGGCCAAGTTTGTTATGGTAATAAGGAGAAAAAGGAAATTATTCGAGATTTTTATGGACAACTATACAAGAAAGAGAATATTGATGAGGAAAAAGTCAAACAGTACTTACAGAATGCTAACCTACCTAAGAAATCCAAAGAGGCTGAAGAAATGCTAGAAAGTAATATAACAATGATAGAATTAAGTGAAGCACTTAAGAAACAAAATAATGGGAAAGCACCAGGTCCGGATGGGCTTCCGGCAGAATTCTACAAAATATTACAAGAATCATTGAGCACTCCATTGTTAGAAGTCATGAATGAAGCTATGTCAAAGAAGATGATACCTAAAACTTGGTCAGAGGCTTATATTACACTTATTCCAAAAGAAGAGGCTGATCCACTGCATAAAAAAAAAAGTAAAAAAAGATAGAGTGTTGGTAAATACTCTGGTGCTGGGAGGTGCTTTTTGTCCAACTAACTCAATTCTCTAGCCCTTACTTTCACTATTAGTGTCTAATGAACTCCCTCAACTGGGGGATTAATCAGAGACAGAAGCAAGAGTGAAAACTGTTATCCCATGATGACTATTGCTGCAACTCTTTTCCAAGTACTAGCAAGAGGAAAATCTACTTCTCATTGCATAATTCAATTGCATAACCTCATAATTTCTGTATAAGTATCATACGCATTTACCTCCTGATTTGATGCTGTTCCCACTGTGTTGAGGTGGTCACTGGCTTCACATACAGTCTGGAGAACAGCACAACAGAGATCTTGTAGTTGTTCAAGAGCCTGAATAGACATGGGGGAAGGTGCATTGTGTTACAAAAGCAGAGAGTTACAATATATTTTAATGAAGAACTTACATTATAAGAATGTCCAAGTTAGAACTACATCTGAAGTGGATGATTCCTGTAAATATAAGGTATGTGCTGACATCTAAAGCATCTATACTATAAAAGCTATCTCACAGAAACATTAACTATGTATTCTTGAAGGAAAAAGGCAGGAAAGTTTCTTGAAGGAAACTTCAATTCTCTGGATCAATTCTTTGTGTTAATATAAGGTCCATTCATGACTATTTTCCCATACCTGATGTTCTCTAACCCATTTGGGTGGTGAGTAGCTCAGAGTCCCACCTAGTGCTGGGGTCAACTGATCCAAGGCTACATAATGTGGAAGTTCATGCAGCAAAAGAAGCCGGATTTCCTGCAGGATAAGGGGACTGAATCAGATACAAAGAGTTCCCAAATTCTTTTCAATAATATCCAATATCTTGTCATCCCTCTTCCTTACCTCAGCCATGAACCCTAGGTCATGGCTAGACCTAAACTGATGTTAGAAATAGTAACTCATCACAATCTCTGAAGGACAAAAATACACAATGAAATGTTTATTTTGTCCGAAAAAAATGTCTTTTTTTGTGCAACAACTTGCATGATAGAAACAATAATTTTTTCTCCTCATCCCTAACTCTTAATATTCTAATATTATTTGCATGCATACATTTTTGCTATATCCTCCAAATTGTTTAAGGAATTAGATACATAACTCTACCAATCCATTGATTTTCTGTGTATTAAATAAATTATAAATGAGCTAAATTTGGTTAATAACATCCAGCTCATACACTTCAGTTTAGAGAATGCCCAGAGGTTTATGTAATCACATAATTATAAGCTACCTCCTTCCCATATCATTAGGTTTCAATGTTCTGCCAAAAATTTACCAGCCCTAAAGGAGAAAACAATACATTGTATATCTTTTTCTTCATTATCAGATAAAAGCATTATTGACTAATGTCTCAACTGGATAGAAAGGTAGAGCTAAATAAACAGTAAACGGCATCTCAAATGGCCAAAAATTAATAAGTTTCTGTTATCAGTCCGGTTTTTCTGTAGTGGACTTGCCTCCAGTTAACACATAGATGGATTCACACCATGCCAAAGCATGCATTAAACAGAATTATTAAATAAACTATAGTTAGCTGGGATGCACAACCTATAAACCAGGTGTAGCCAAGCCCTGGGCCATAATCTGATACTGGGACACGGCCCATTCGGAACCAGGTTGTGGAAGTGGCAAGCGAGTATGCACTTGCAAGTAGGTCCACTTGTACAAACTGGGGGCAAGTGCGCAAAGTTCTATTTGCATGAGCGGTAGGCACCTGCTGCTTGCGCAAATGGAGCTACATACATGCACTGGCGCACCGCTCCTGCAGAACCATCCTCTCTCCCTTCTGCTGCTACCACTAATCCGCAAAGCTGGAAAGTTGGGGACCACTGTAGTAAACCATTAGCCACTGTTTGTACCAAACTCTAAACTAAAATCCAATCAAACCATATCACAGTTTAACAAGATGTTTATACCCACCCTCTGTTATTAAATGACCATCCCATGTGATATTGATACATGTATAAAAGGAGCAAAGCTTCAATCACTGAGTTGTGACTGCTATCTTGATTTTGATCAGGACTCTCTCATGTCTCTAACCATGACCTAGATATCTCACTCCACCTGCCCTTATTCTCCCTTCTTCTTCAGCAAACATTCCTCCAGGAAATAGTTTGCAGTAGAAACTCAGAGTTCTTACCACAACAGGTTCTAAGGTCAATTCTTCTTCATGGGGTACAAAACGATCATCAGAAGGTAAGATCACCAGCAGCTGACTGATGGGAGTTGGTGCAGTCTCCTAAATAAATAAAAGGTTTTGCTTCACAGGCTCATAAAAGTTGCATTCAATAATCAGAAGCAAAGGGAGAGAGTTCTACAGGCCCAGAAAGTGAGGCATAGAAAGGTAGCAGAGCTACCTTGTTTTCCAATATATGAGAAACAAAAAAAGTTACAACAAAATACTTTTGTCAGGGTCCAGAGTCAATCAAAGGCAGGGATCCCCAACTCCTGGGCCGTGGCCCACTATCGGATCATGGCCTATTCAAAACTGAGCCATGTGAGCTGAGCAGGCTGGCATAAGCATGTGCACGCACAGCTTACCTCACGTAAGCAGCGGACCAGTATGCATGCAGTTCAATTCATACGAGCAATGGAATGGCATGCATGCATGTGCACATGTATGTACGCTGGGCCACTGCTCATGTAAGTTGAGTTGTGTATGCATATGTACCAGCCCACCACTTTCAAGGCCTAGTTCCCTTATCCCAACCCAGCCGGGATGCCAAGCTGCAAAAGTTGGAGACCACTGATCTAAGGCTTGGCCATGGTTTTCATTATAAAACAATGAAAACTTGAGGGGGGGGGGTGTTCAACTAGCACCATTTTGTTCCTTATTTTGATTATATAAATCATGTCAAAATCACACTAATGTATACAGTTTATCTCCCTTTCCTCCAGAATATGAGATTTAGTGCCAATTTGCATAAACTTTGGTCTTTATGTTCATATTTTGAGGTTATTAGAAATGTACTATTTTATTAAAATAGTAAATAGACCTTCAGGCTGCTTATTGAGGGTCAAGGAAAAAAACTTCAGGTTCACTTTTCCAACTTCCATGTCATTCATATGTATTGGATTGCATTTCCCATCATCCTCAATTAGAATTACAGGGAGAAGGGAAAGGCAACTTGAGTCAGGATGATACCTGGAATGCTCTTAAAGCTGGCAGCAATACGGGGGCCTGGAAGGCCCAGTCATCCACATGGCTTAGGTCCAACAGCACTGTCAGTCCAAGAATCTTTAGCTCTTGCCTAGAACATAGGTGCAAAAAACAAGAGATGTAGAGTTGCCTTTTCAGCATCAGGTTTGCCAGATTGGCTTAATGTAACATTTACCAAAGAGGCCAAATCATAGGAAAATTGGGCAAAATAGTTTGCTTGGAGGCATCTCTAAGAGCTTTTCTGAGAGTGAGTGAGTGAGGGGGGGGGAAGAGAGAGAGATTCTCACTCGGTAACGTTTTATCATGTGTATAAAATTTTATCATAAATGCATACAATGGTCCGAAAATGAATTTTATTATCATTTATTACCACTGTATTTCTAAATGGCTTCTAACTGAGGTAGTCGCTAAATAGGAAGTGTAATTATCAAACCTGTTACAAAGTGCAAAATTAACAATTGGATATAGAATTATAATAAGAATGATAATAAATGTAACAAATATGGAGTAAATCACAACAAATTAGAATTTTCACTCCAGTAACAAATATGGTAGCCAGTACAGTCCCTAAAATTTAAAATAACCTTGAATATTATTATTACTATATCTATACTGTGGATATTATTAATTCAATGTTTATTTGAAAAATTAAATGACTGCCTATTATACTATATTATGCAACACAATCTGCTAAGAAATACATAAATAAAAATTAAAACTCCAGGTTTTTTTTAATTAATTAAAGATTGTGGAGCAATCTATGCAATGGGAGAAGATTTAGCTCATTTCCACAACTGCTATATTCTACTAGATTATGAATAACCTTTTTCAAATAAGAAAGCTCAAAGACATTTTTAGTATTTGGGGTCAAAACAACCAACCTTTGCAAACAAAATGCTTTTAAACTAATTGGATTCTTAATGGCTTCCCATGGCAGCTTCCTGAAGTTCTGATTTTATGAGAAGAATTTCCTGAATTCTTCACCTGCCTCAATTAATTAGTCTTTTGGAAGGGAGCCTTGACTGCTTCATCTGAAGGCACTTTGATATACAGTACAGCTATTGCATCAGGCTAATCTAGTGGATTTTTAGCTGGATTTTGGCAAGGCACTTTCTTTAATAAACTAGTCAACTTTGCTGCCTGAGACAAGGGACAAACAGCATTCTGACTAAGTAAGGAGCTAAGTTTATCTCTTAGTTATAAGTCACAACTAAAAACCTTAAGACAAGCAACTATGTAATACACAGCAGCAGCCTTTTACGCCATATATCTAGGCATTGCTCATTTACCACGCTACCATCTCTGGCTCAGCAAATGCTAGAACATAGCAGAAGCAGATCAAAGTATATTGTGAGCATCTTGTCAGTGATACGTGTGCCTTGAACTACTTTCATTTCTAAACTCTGACACAGGCAATGATAACAAGAAAAGGTTAATAGAGCCAGATTGCAATAGTCGCCATCACCAAGACTCAGGAGGAGCAGTTCTGGAGGAAGACAGCAGCATCCCAGCAATTGTTCTTTGAGGCTGTTATCTCATTTTGTGTAAATCAAGGGTCTTCAAACTTGGCAATTTAAGACTTGTGGATTTCAACTCTCAGGATTCCTGAGCTAACATGACTGGAGGAGGAATTCTGGGAGTTGAAGTCCACAAATCTGAAATGTCAACTTTGAAGATCCCCTAGTCTAAATAACAGGTTACCTGAGAAGTGAGTGCATGTATCTTAAGGTATTAACCAGATCCTCTTGTCCCGGAGGCAACTCATCCTGAAGAGGCTGGGGCACTATGGTCAGCAAGGAATGGCCAGCCTTGTCTATTCCTCCTGGTGTGGAGAGAAACAGAAGGAAAATATGAGCTATAAGTCATAACTTTATTTACCTTGCAATGCTTCTGGCCTGTACTCCAATAAAAACAAAACATGAGTTGGCTTCTCAGCTACCAAATCTCATAGATAGGGCCAAATCAGTCTGAGATCAGCAGCCATTCACATGACCAGTCCCAGACATTCAGAATTTGCAACAAAAGGGTGCATGGACAAGAACCACTTTCCTACCAATCACACTTGGTGAATTATGATCTTTGGTGCTTTCTAAGATTTAAACACACTTGTAGGACTTTAATTCTCCAGAAATTGTCTTCACTAGGTGCATCTGCAATTTCATCAGATTGCTGCAAACCACAAAAAGAATTGAAACGGCACCACATGGCCATTTAGTTTAGTTTAGTTTACTTTATTGTCACTGCACCTCATACAATGAAATCAAACACCATCTCCAGTGCACACCATGAATTTATTTATATTTTATTTATTATTTAGATTTAGAATTTATTTAGATGACTTGGGTTACCACCTTATAAAAAGTGTAATGTATATCTATCATACTCCATTAATAACATAGTTGAACTCTCCAAAGTAAAAAACAATGAATTCCATTTGAGTAATTTATGCAACTTTCTTAAATTAACATTTCTCTTGATTTGTTTTCTCCTGCCTTGGCTAGAAAAGTAAAACAGAGAGACTTCCAAGTTCTGTGGCATGGAATACGATCAATGTGAATATCCCATGACATTCTGACATTGGGCTAAAATTCCCAACCTCATGACTACTTTAAGTCTGTCTTAAAATATGTATTAAGCTTATATTCCATGAATAATATAAACCCCTGGTTTCCATAACAAAGTCAATACTAATTGCAGCACCAGCATTTTATAAGCATATGGAAAGTTGAAATGCAATTACTTTCAAAAAGAAACCGAGGTTGGAATTTTTATTTACGCAGATACAAAGCAGATGTGGAAGACAGATCTGAGGGCAGACCACTGGAGTTCATAAGCTACACCAACCTATCAGACCAAAATAGATTGTGTCTGCATGTGTGTGTCTGTGTGCGTGTTCTACAGGAAGAACATCTGAGCTCATTTTCTCCATTAAAAAAAACAAAAACTGCTTCATCTTCCAAATGGTATGTTGCTGGAAAAACACTGAAACTTCCCCTCACAGATCCAGTATTCCATTTCCTACAACATATCATGTTGCAGCAAATACAAAATACATAAATTTGGAGCCTGGGAAAAGTTAACATAAGGTCATTTACAGAGGGAAAATTCCCCATCTTTTCTTTCTGCCTGTAGCCAATTGTAAATCCTAAAAGTTTCAGGAGAAAATGAGAGACAATCAGGGATAAAGAATGGGAGGGGGGGAGCAGGAAGCAGAATCAGAATCCCATTTAATGCTAAAGTAGCTCATCAATATAGATGAAAGTTTTGTTACCAAGTTTTTGTGGGAAGAAGGGTTACAGGGGAGAGGATAAGATGGATATCTTCCCATTAACTTCCATAAGACTGTCGTTTCAATCCCAAAAGGTCTTTTCCCATTGTGATGGATTAGATTCCATCATTCCTAGTCAGCAGATTCAATGATTAAAACACAAATCTGCTTGTGTACAATTGGGAAAGAGTGGTTATCTGGAAAGATGACTTGCAAGTATTGTTTATGTGCTATTCTTGTCATTTGTAATTGGATTGCGAGGGAATCATATCATGATCATTTGATTAAAATTAAGGCTGTTGACAAGACACTTCATTTCTACTTTTCCACCCCCTTCAGGTCTGCATGTGTCCTTGGTTTAATCTCATAAACTTTCTAAAAGCATTCAAATTTAACAGCAGCAAATCTTTCCTTCATTGCAAAAGAGACAGAAAACTGACATTCCACCACAGTTGACATCAACTTCATCTTCTGTTGACATATAGACTTCACCTCAACAAAACCAATTAGATAAATATAATCTCAGTTCAGCTATCCATTATGATGTATGAATTCTTAACCAGGTTAAATAAAGACTTGGATATGCACTTTACATATATTTATATATGGGTGGGCACTGAAGGGCTGTTTGCAAGACAATGACAAATAGAAAACATTCAGGAAGAAAGCAAAAGCACTTCTATACTATTGCTAAGGAAATGTTGTACTTTCATGTAGTTACCACAAATCAAGCTTAACTCAAGGGCATCTCTGTCTTTCAAAAAAATGTAATTAGTTAACCTGAGCAAAATGTCATAACTAATTATGTTGTGCAGCCTAGCATGTTTATGTGTTTTATGACTCATGATTTTGTGAGTTATTCTGGCATTCAGGATAAGCATATTGTGAGTTTGAGATCAATCTAAACCGTGTAGAATTATCATATGAGTAGCAGAAAAGTTCACTACTCTCCTCACAGATTGGGTTTCTGATGACAACTAAAGATAGACATCTGCAAAAAATCTTCACACTTACAGGTGTGCGTGCTTAAACTTTGTACAATTTCAGGCTTGCAAGCAAATCAACACATATGCAACTAAATACAATGATCTCTACAGCACAGAAATCTACACTATATACACAGATATCTGTGGAGATTCTCAGTCATCCAGGTCATAGTTGTCTCAAAGGTGCTTTTTCAAAAGGCAACTTGATTTTGGTTCAGTTAGGTTATTCCTTGAGGAAGATGTTTCACTTCTCATCCAAAAAGCTTCTTCAGTTCTAACTGAATGGTGGAGAATGCAAGGATTTATATGCCTTGCAGTCATTTGGTCATTAGCATTATTTTTAAGAGTGGTTGAGGCAACTTGAGGCACAGATAAACTTCCAAGTGGTCTCAACTACTCTCAGAACGTTCTAATGACCAGATGACTGCAAGGGATATAAATCCATTCTCTAGTTTATTGGATGAGAAGTGAAACATCTTCCTCAAGGGAAAAAAACTAGTTGCCTTTTAAAAAAAGCTCCTTTGAGATATGTACTCAGATGTCGCTTCTAATCTGATATCAGAGCTACAATTTATGGAGAAATAGGATAGCTCTCTTCTGCAGGTTTTTTTTTTTTTTAAATAATGCCTCAGTAGTTTCAAGTGCCACTAGGGATCCATGCTATCCTTTTTCCTTTCGTCTGTTCTGAAATTACCCTATGCTGGAAGAAGCAACCACCCACAATCCTTTTGAATTGAACATATAGGTTACAACAAATGGGAACTAAATTCTAAAACAAGGCAACATTGTTTGCTTGTAATTTACATAAACAGTATGCATCAACTCTTTTCAAATGACTGCAGTATTTCACAGGGAGAAAAAAAAAGGTACATTCACAGGGGCAATCCAAGAATTACATCCAAAGGTTCCTTCCTCCAATGGAAAGAGTCTTCCACTGATAGAAAAGATCCTTTTGTCAGAGGAAGTCAACCTTTGGATCTAATCCCAAATGTCTCAAACACTTCAGTTGAAAGGAAATGGCATTTCCCTCTCCAATTTAGAAGGTTCTTAAAAGGTATTATGGAAAACAGGTCAACTGGGGGTTATAATCATTGGTAACTAAATATCATCTCCATTATGTGCTGTTCTTTTGAATAGCAGATTCTGAGGATTACTGTTAACTATGACTTCTAATGTAGACCTTCCATTTATTTAATCAACACTATCATCTAACTGAATCATTTCCAAACAGGTGTCCTTCAATTGCAAAGGAAATTGTAGGGAAGGTAATTCAAATACATCTGGAAGACACCAAAAGCCTGTTGTATCAGAAAGAAGATGTGTGAAAAAGCATGCAGACAAAAGATTGAGACTTAGCTAATATCAACTGTTAGTTTCTAGACGTAAGAAATACAAAGCTTAGATGACCTAATGTCCCTTATTGTAGTACATTAAGGTGTGGTATGTCCATATAAACTAGTTTGTTCTAAACCTGAATAGTTTCCCTTTTGCACTGATTCATAAATAGTCACTCAAGCAGGGCCTAACTTAATCACTTAACAGAATAACAGAGTTGGAAGGGACTTTGGAAGTCTTCTAGTTCAATTGTCTGCTCAAGCAGTAGACCCTGTATCATTCCAGACAAGTGGCTGTCCAGTCTCTTAAAATCTCCAATGATAGAGCATCCCAAACTTCTGAAGGAAAGCTATTCCATTAGTCAACGAGGCATCCAAATGATTGGAACACTGGCAACAGAACACTGAACCAAATCAAGCATTAGTTTGTTCTAACTGGGATGTTTTTGGAATTGCTATGGCATGAAAATGAAAAGGATGAAAAGAATTGGAAAATTCTGCAGAAAATAATGGCTATCAGAATCTCCATATCTCACAAATGTGGCCTCTCTGGCAAGTTGATCCAGGGAGCAATGAACAGGAATTTTGCTTGTGGGCCTTCTAGAGACTACAGATGATCTTCATTTAACAACTACAAGGGTTGAATGAGTGTTAGTTACAACCAGTCCTCATATTTATGGCAGCTGCAGTGCTCCCAAGGTTACTTGCTCACATTCTTATTATTCTTGCCAACTTGTTACAAGCAGAATCAATGAGGATGCCAGCAAGAATTTAGAAAAGGTGACCATGTGACATCATCACTTAACAACCTACAGTGATTTGTTTAATAATGCCAACAGGAAGTGCTAGAATTTCCACTGCCAAAAGCAGCATGGTCACGTAATGTCATACTTTAAGATTCTGTGACTTAGTGATGTAAACTCTGAACTCAATTACTATTGTTTAAATGAGGACTACATGTATATCCAGGTTTTAGAGGTGATGTTCATAAAACTGAAACATTCTAATAGGTGACATTTTTTTGAAAATAGATTCACCAATCCGGTGCTTTCTTTTCAAGTGTTCTTCTATTCTCTTATTTTCCCCTTATTTCCAAATCTCTTTTTGTTTACACTTTCTATGTGTTTCTAGGGAGGCCTGCCTCCTGTTTTGAAAGCCCAGAGGCCTTCAGTAACATGATCAGGCACTGGTGTCATTCTGGGTTGTTTGGTGGCTTGAGGGAAGAGAGTGGTTCCTGCAGACTGTTGTGATGTGGCGAAGACCGAGGCTTGCCTCACTCAGTCCTCATGATGTTTAGTAAGATGGCAAAAATGTTGGTTAAAGGACAAGTTTGTTGGAAGAGCCTGCAGAGACTCATTTTGTAATGTTGATATTCATAGGAAAGTTTTGGGCTGCAATCTGAGGCCATGGTTTGTTGAGCTAAGTATATTTTATGGTTAAATCATATTGCTGGAATTGCAACCTGGATTGCCCCACATTATTTTACTGCTCACGATGGAAAATACAAATGGGCGATTGCACCATTACAGAAGTAGTTACCCTCTGTATATTGCACCTGAGCCATCTATGATTAATGACATCCAAAATCTGTTTCTCCATTGTCTTCACCCATTATCTCCAATTAATTTCTCTCCAGTTGGTTAATGTTGCTTAATTGTGACATCTAGTTCAACCCTACATAATGGAGCAGAGGGGCAGACAGCAGAAGGTTGCTTTGCCTTGAAAAGTCAAAGAAAATAAGCATATTGAGGACAAAAACTGTCAGTATTTGAAATACACAACATCAAAAGTGGGCAAAAAAAAATAATGAAAAAAGTGTGGATACTTGTTAGGGAAAGGCATTAATACTTTCTAAACAGCAAATGCAGAGTGATGCTGTGCTATTTAGTGTAGAGATGATGTAAACCCAACATCCATTAGGAAGGAACTGCTGAGAGTCTCACACACTCTGAAGCATCTATCTATCCTCTGAATCCAAAGCACTGCACACCCCACTGATTTGCCTAAAGCTAATTAGATCCACAGTGGTGCAGTGGTTAGAATGCAGTACCGCAGGCTACTTCTGCTGACTGCCAGCTAACTGCAATTTGCAGTTCAAATCTCACCAGGCTCAAGGTTGATTCAGCCTTCCATCCTTTCAAGATCAGTAAAATGAGGACCCAGAATGTTGGAGGCAATAGAATATGCTGACTTTGTAAACCACTTAGAGAAGGTTGTAAAAGCACTGTGAAGCGGTATATGTCTAAGTGCTATTTCTAGTTAGTTAACTGACTTGTGGAATTGAGAGATGTGAAAATCATAAGATAGTAGACAAAGTGTCATGATGCAAACCCCATACATCTGATCTTGCACGAGAGATCAGGGTCTGCAAAACAATGCTTTGTCTGCCATCTTGCTGCTTTGGACCCCCTTACAGATGCTGCTAGTGGAACCCACTACAATAATCATCAATTTGGATGTGTGAACTACAGGCCCCATCATTCCCCAAGTTAGTCGTGTACAATGTTGGTTTGATGAATGTTAAGTGTAGTCCTGCACATCTGAATACTATCATGTCAAGAGAAAGTGATAAACGAGCCTCAGGATCCATCACAACTTATTCTGATTCTGCAAAGCACTCTCCAGATGTATTGGATTAGAATTCTCAGAATTCCCAATCAGATAACTATTGGCCACACTGGCTAGAAATACTCTTTGGGAAGAATGACCCAACAATTGAGATATCCAGATCAGGGAATGCCATATTATGCCAGATTAAATTTTCTAATACTTCTTTTTGAAGATTTATTAGAAAGGAAAAACAAATCAACTTTAACATCTCCAGATGATTATCATTTAATGACTTACCTGTCAGAGCCAAAACTCCTGACTGAAGAAGATTCCAGTTTACAGATTCCCCAAGACGAGCCACCGTGGGTAAAACAGAATTTTGTATTTCCCTAGGACCCTGATCAGCTGCTATGTCTACGGCCTCTTCTTTCCCATCCACACTTGCTGGTTCATTCTTCTTTGGCAAGTCACTGTTGAGATCCTGCTCCACCATACATTGGTCTTCAGAAACGTCAGCTTCTTTTTCTTGGATGTTCACCTCCTCACTATCAATTCTTGGTTCACTAGTCATGGGCTTAGCATTTTGTTCTTCAGTGTTAAGTTTTGGGCCTTCCATATTTCCTTCTCCAGAGCTGCCTTCATTGTCATCAATGGTACATTTTCCTGTGCTGTCTTCTGGCTCAGTAGCACCAGCAATACAGTCTCCAGTGGTGACAGTCAAGCCCTTATTGTTGGCTCCCTCCCCTTGAGTTTCAAGGCTTTGGTTTCCTGTGATTCTATCTTTTTCTTGAGTGTCATCACACTCCGTGATATCAACACATGATACTTTGATGCTGTCTGGATCTCTGGTACTAACATAAACACTTCCGGTCTCAGAATCCTGTTCTCCTGGACCAGTGCAGGCCTCCTCTTTTTCAGCACCTATTTTAAGATCAGAACTTTCTGTTTCTTGGTTAGCAGAATCTGTCCCCTGTTTAATCCGACCACCAGCTCCTTTCCCAGCACCTTTCTTTTTTCTCCGGTTTCCCTTGGTGGTACGTTTTGGGGTTGCTAAAGCTGGAGCATGGCTTTCCTTGCTGTCTTCCTTAGGAGGAGTTGGATCTTGGGGAATGGATTCAAGCAATTCCTCTTTCCCTAGAACTGTGTCTTCAGCAATGCCATCACTACTACTCAGAATGGGTGGTGGTTTTGTTTCAAGGTGATCCAGGGTTGCCTCCAGTTGCTTGGGATTCAAGTTCCCAACTGTTCCGGGAGTTTCTATAACTGGGTCTAAAGCTGGGCTAGGGTTTGGTCTCAGCTGAGTTACTTTCTCATCCTGGATTCCCTTCTCTTGGCTAGACTTCTCTGCCTCCTCAGTTTTGCAAGCCTGTCGCAAAGCAAAGTTCTCCCCGCAGCCTGACTTATGATGGAGCCAGGCTCGGTGGCGCCGGTTCCTATTTTTGCTATGTCCCTTGCGAGCAGGCATTGTCTGAATCTGGGCACTGCAAGGTTGCAGGATTCTGGGTGTTTGATGCAAGGTGGGGCTGACCTCCAAAAGGTGAACGTATTCCCCCTCCGATTCCCGGTTCTCTCCGCCAGAATGGCGTCCGTCACCAGGACTCCTTGCTCCCAGTACCTCAGGAGTCAAATCTGTAGGGCAGTGCTGCCCCACAATAAATCCATCTTTGTGCACAAACTGAGGATACACAAGCTCAGCCCAGGGCAAGCTCAGCACTTTTTCTCCAGCTGCCAGCAAGCAGCGTTCCAGGCGCCCTACCCTACGTTCTTTGTTGATGCCATTAAGCCATTCAATGGTAAACAGGAATCGATAGGAGTCCGGAGACACAGGCAACTCCTGAACTCCCCGGCTCTCCAGCGAGAGGCATTTCAGGACTAGGCGGGGAGCACATTCCCGGTGAGGCACCACTTGCAAGTAGAAATCCCCGGGACACAAATGTTGCCAAGGCAAGGAGCCCAGCTGGACAAGGACTTTTTCATGAAGGCACAGGGGCCAACCTTCATGGCAAAAGACAAAGCCACTATACTGAGCCTGAGGAAGAAGGAAAGAGAGAAGAGGAGAAAGGGAAGTCAGTTAGACGTTATATTAAGAAATACAGAATACTGGAACCTATATACAGGTAATCCTAGACTTACAACAGTTCATTTAGTGACTATTTGAAGTTACAACAGCACCAAAAAAAGTGACTTATGATCATTTTTCACACTTATGACCTGGTTGCAGCATCTCCAGGGTTATGTAATTTACATTTAGATGGCTGACAACTGGTTCATATTTATGACAATTACAGTGTCCCAGGGTTGTATGATCACCTTTTGTGACTTTCTGATAAGCAAAGTCAATGGGGAAGCCAAATTCACTTAACAACTGCAGTGATTCACTTAATAAATTTGGGAAGAAAAGTCATACAATGGGGCAAAACTCAGTTAACAAATTTCTCACAGCAATAGAAATTTGGAGCTCAATTTTGGTTATAAGTTGAGGACTATCTGTATACAGTACAAATATTGCATTAATTGGTAGTATATCATTCTTTTTCTTCCCATCATGAAACAAAAAGCATCTCCTAACTTAGTTCAACTCTGGCATTTCACCACAATGAAGAACTCGATTAGAATTCTGCACAAAAACTAAAATTGCCAAATAAGAGGACAAGAGTGCATATGGGGAAGGAAAAAAAGGGGTGGGGAATCTAATTTACACAACCTTTTTAAAAGACTCTCCAATCAAAGAATGTTGACAACTATATATCCCACCCAAAATCCATTTAGCTAATGCTTATTTGCCATATAAGTTTACTTATGAAGGAGTTACTAACAAAAAAATGTGGGAACATGATGCAGGAAGTCCTTGACTTACTATCAGTCATTTAGCAAGCTATGATAAATTTGCAAAATTTGATAAAGTTGATACTCACAACTGTCCTCAAGGTTATGACTGCCACACCACCCCTTGTCTTGTAACTGTATTTTGGGTACTTGGCAACAGGCTCACATTTATAACCAGTTACAGCATATGAGCATAATTTCCTTTTTTTTTTGGCTGCTTACAGCATTGAATGAACTAGATTTAGAGTTCAGCCACGATTCACTTAGCAACTATGGTGACTCACATACTGAACATCATTAAAATGATCATAAAATCAAGTCTAGTCACATGGAAACTCAAGTTATGACCACAATTTACAAACAAAATTCTGGGCTTAACTGTGGTTGTATGTCGAGTGTATCTATACAGTTAAAAAAAAATTAAAATACCTAGGAGCTAAAAAATTTTTTCCTATACTTAAATTTAGATTAGAGAAGCTGTGGCCCTCTGGGTATTGGATAACATTTATAGGAATTGATGGGGGAATTGAACTCAACACCTCTGGAGGGCTACCAATGTTCTAGCTAACTCTCATACAGAGAGCCACTATGGGATTCTGGCACCAGCATGGATTATTTCTCTGTTGCCCAACACTGCCAAGCTAGATTTCCTGTTCAGAAGTACTCCAGACAAACAGAGAGCCAAACCGAAGCAGGAGCTCACACAGGCTTCACTCTGGATGCGAGCCAAGATGTGCTTGGCAGGAACAAGGAAGTCAAGGGTGTAGCGCAGTGCATCGTGTTGGTACGTCCGCTCCAGCACTTCGAAGACCTGACTCAGAAGGGTAGGGGCTGTGGCTTCGAAAGGAGGGTACAAGGCAGCCAGTGTGCTCTGGACACATTCTTCCACAGGCTCAGGTTCCTGCAAAAACAAGGAATATGTAAGGGGAGGTCATGAGCCTCCAAGAGCCTTTCACCAGCCCATCCAATCCCCCTGAAACTATGCAATGAAACAAGTGCAATTTCCTTTATCTACTCCCAAAGCATTGTTCCCTCCTTGCCCAAGTGCAGTGAATGCTCTGCGTAGTTTTGTGGCTTCTGAATACCTTATACCTTGTGATGCTGTCCTAGGACTAGGACCTCTTGCCTTCAACCTTTTCTATTTGATGTCCTTTCGTTGCCTTGCTCAGCCAATTAAAGGGAAGAGCCAGGTTGTTATGGTTACCTGCAGCAATGAGCAACTGGTCATATTTTATGCCTGGAGGAAGACCACTGCCCTCTAGTGATGTGTCAAAAGGAACAAGAGGCAGCCAGGAAATTGCTCAGGGCAATGCGCACAGAGACCAGCAGTGTGTAAAAAAGAGCAGAGGGCATGAGGGGGCAGCAAGAATGAAAACAGTTTGGAAAGGCGCCAAGGAGTATGGAGAGCGGAGGTTCCATCTGGAATACATTAGCAGCTGTGAGCTCATTCCTTCCGCAGCTCCACCCAGCAAAGGAAATAGGGGAAGGGGGGGAGAGAGAGAGAGAGAAGGAGGGGCAACAGCAAGAGAAATAGCCATATTTTTTACACCTTCCAATGTACTTACTACAGTCATAATCATTTTTTTCCACAGGCATATTCTGGATTCAAATCTCGCTGCAGGAAAATCACAAAAACTATGTATCCTTGCCTTGTTTCTGAATCCAGATTAAATAATTTTATTAAATCTTTCCCGATTGTTTCTTTGTTCTTGAGCATTCCAAATGCTACAAAGTTAAGCTGGACCTTGATGTGGTGATTAGACAAAGAAAATCTTATTAAACTAAGGGCTTGAAAAGATGTGGTTGTCTTTTGTAGCAATTATACTTCAAAAAGCTCCTTAGAGAGAGGGAAGCAAAACAACTGTTAATCTTGCCTAACTTTGCACCTTTTACCACTATCTTACCTAATATCCATCAGCAAGGCTTTAAAAAAATTACAAAAATTTTAAAGAGTCCTTTATTGTAATAGTAGAACTAGTTTCGCCATTAGGAAGTGGTAAGAAAGCAACTTCAAGCAACTAATTTGAATTTTTTTAAAAATCAGCTCATTTAAATATTTTTGTTATGTACTGTTTTGTTTGGGGGAAGAAGGAACAGTTATTATTTTGCCATGTTTTTAGAAATAACACAACCATTATTGGGTAACTAAGCACCTTATTTGGTGAAGGAAGGAAGCATCATTATTCTTAAGTCTTAGGCTGCAAAATGCAAGTATCCAGCCTTGTATGGGAGACTGGAGTACTTTATACCAACACTTTCCAAAATAAGAAATGTTGAACTAAAATTCAGCCTTTCATCTATCAGAGATAAATAGAGGCCACTTAATTTCTGCTTACAGAAGTTACAGGCAGGTGTACACGGTATATCAGGGATATACAGAAATAAAAACAACATTTAATGGATTCAAGCCAATAATTCAGGTATCTGGAAAACCCAGTAATATTCCCAAAACAAATGCAGTCAGATTGGTCATAAGGGAAAACATCTGTAATAAGGCAATATTTTATTATTAAACCAATCGAATCTGTACAAACTAGCATGCTAGAGCTCACTCAAGGTTCAGAAATTATGAGCAAAGTTTCAAGGTTCAAGAACTTTTTCATTGGGCAGAGTAATTAAAAAACATTGGAGGTAACAATATGACCAATAGTTAAACTATGTCTGCACAGGAAGGTATTTAATGCAGCCTGGGAATAACCTACTTTTGGCATGGCTTAAACATCACCTACAAGTTTTCTTCCAGTTCTATTGGTGTCCTGGTGTTTTAACTTCTGATGAAGACCTGAGAATTTACACACTACAGTCCTCAGCGTACAACCACAATTGGGATCAATTAAATGAATCATGCAGCCATTGAGTGTGAGGTCATTAAGCGAATACAGCTTCCCCCATTGACTTTGCTTGCCAAAAATCATGTGGAAAGGTTGAAAATGGCAATCACATGACCCAGGGATGCTGCAACCTTCATAAATACATGACGGTTGCCAAGGATCGCAATTTTGATCGCGTGTCTGTGGGGATGCTGTGATAGTTGTAAGTGCGAGAACCTGTCATACTTTTCTCAGTAAAAACTTCAAACAATGGCTAAACGAATAGTGTTAAGTCAGGGACTAAATTAGTAGACCAGCAAAATACTGTGGACATAATATATTTAGATTTCAGCAAGGCATTCAACAAAGTAGACCACAACCTACTTCTTACTAAGCTAGAAAAAAGTGGAATAGATAGCACCACCACTAGATGGACTCGCAACTGGCTGACAAACTGTACTCAACTTTAAGTCTACATGGAGGGAAGTAAGCAGTGGGGTGCCACAAGGTTCCATCTTAGGCCCAGTACTCTTCAATATCTTCATTAACAACTTAGATGAGCGAATCGAAGGGGAACTTACCAAATTTGCAGATGATAATAAGCTGGCAGGAATAGCTAACATCAAAGAAGATAGGCTCAAGATCCAGATGGATCTTGACAGACTAGAACACTGAGCCATATCTAACAAAATGAAATTCAATGTAGAGAAAAGTAAAGTCCTACACTTAGGCAAGAAAAACCAAAAGTACACATATAGACTGGATGAAACCAGGTTCAATAGCAGTAACTGTGAGAGGAATCTTGGAGTCTTAGTGGACAACCAGCTAAATATGAGCCAGCAGTGTGCAGCAGCTGCCAGAAAAACTAATGCAATCCTAAGTTGCATTAACAGAGGGATATAATCAAGATCAAGGGAGGTACTAATACCACTCTATAAAGCCTTAGTAAGTTCACACCTATAGTACTGCATCCAGTTTTGATCACCACATTATAAAAAAAGATGTTGAGACCCTAGAAAAGGTACAGAGAAGAGCAACCAGGATGATTAGGGGACTGGAGACTAAAACATATGAAGAACGGTTACAGGAACTGGGCATGGCTAGTCTACTAAAGGGAAGGACCAGGGGAGACATGATAGCAGTCTTCCAATATTTGAGCGGCTGCCACAGGGAGGAAGGGGTCAAGCTATTTTCTAAAGCACCTGTAGGCCAGACAAGGAATAATGGATGGAAACTGAACAAGGAGAGATTTAACTGGAAATAAGGAGAAACTTTCTGACAGTGAGAACAATCAACCAATGGAACAGCTTGCCCTCGGAAATTGTGGGAGCGCCATCATTTGAGACTTTCAAGAAGAGATTGGACTGCCATCTGTCAGAAATGGTATAGGGTCACCCGCTTGGGCAGGGGCTTGGACTAGATGACTTACAAGGTCCCTTCCAACTCTGATTGTTATATGTTATCTGACTAAATGTATTTTGTCAACCCTGAATTGGCTTGATGTAGAGTCTGCTGTTCCCAATTAGATAGCTCATTTGTTGATATAGAAAGCTCTTGAGAAACCTTCTGCCATTTCAGATTATTTAACTGGAAGGCAAGGCGATACTCCAGTATTTTTACATGCAAAACAGGTGTTCTGCCATGGGGGGGGAGGAAAGTCCCTCCCAAAGAGCCCTCCCCCCCCCACACACACACTTAGGCAAGTGGTATTCTTCCCACCAGGAAGTTCAAAGTCAAGAACCTGATTGCTTTTTTGGGATTCTCCCTCCCTTAACTGAAAGTTGAGTCGAAAGAAACTATTTTGTAAAAAAGGTGGAGGGCACAAAGGTCCCACAATTCCAGCCCCAGCCCAATGCACACGCAAACCTCTCTCTTTTGCTACTTTCTGGCAAAGGGGAAGGAAAATACCGACTTGCAGTCAGCCAAGCTTGAGTTTTATATCCCTGACAGGAAGAGGCAATTCCCCTCCCCTTCAGACCCAGACACTGGCAGGAAGAGTGGGGAGGCCCCTTCTTGGCTCTGAGTCCTGGAGGGGGTGCAAGGCAGACAGATCCACGTGAGAAGCGTGGCTGTTGGAAACACAGACAGATCTTCCCCTAGCATTACTGCCAATATCCAGCCCCCTTTCACTCACACACTGAGAAACAGATGCTCTGTATTTCCATCTACTATTACCAGTGGTTATTCCCCCCAGTGAATTTCTTGGCAGGCAAAAGATACTACCCCTGCAGAGGAGAAAAATTCTGTGAAACCCCAAGATGTGCAGGATTAAAATTTTGGTGGGGTGGAGGTGGGGGAGGGAAGAAATTAGGACTAAGTATGCTCAATAGCCCCAATTGTTGGTGGATCATTGATAGGAAACAGAAAGTTGGAGAAGGAGAACAGAACGAAATATTCCGAGCATAGGAGCAATCCATATGCCATATGGCAGATCTCACCAGACAGCCATGCTCAAAGGAGTTTTTCTTTATATCCTGGATAAAACTTTGGAGAGGGAAGCCTACTAGTGAATTTCTTAATTGAGCCACTGTACATATTAAATAGATTTAATCAATTGATTAGATATCTATGCTGCCTTTCCTTCAGGAGCTCAAGGCAATATACGCAGCTCAACCACTACCCATTTTTCCTTATAACAACCCTAAGAGATAGTTTGGGCCAAGAATGTTTCTGATCCCAAGTCATCTGATAAATAGGTGATACAGGCAGTTATGTAGATGATCCTACACAAAAGGTGCCAGGTTTTGAACTTCCTCACCATTGGTCAACTCTGAACTCTGAACCAACATGGTATCTGCCAGGATGCATTGTTTAAGTGGGGGCTTTTCTCTACCCCTCAGTGTGACTGTGGTGCACTTTGGCAAAATATCCATGTCCGAATGTCCATCAAGAGCTTACACGGGCCATATGTCTGATTTTTTCAACATAGACCACCCTGTCCTTGAATGGCTGGGTAGACTGAACATTAATCACTGTATGTATTTGCCATACACTAAATAAATAAAAACCTGATGAACTTCCATCACTGAGGATGGTGGATGAGAACCTGGCTTTCTCTGAACCTACTCAAGATATCGCCCATTATACCACAGAGACTCACTTTATTTTATTTTTTATTAGGGTAAGATAGTGTCATTATAGCAACTAGCTTTTGAATGACAGAGGATCCTGTCTGCCTTCCTGGAGAAAGGAAGGCAGCTACAAAATATAAAATGGGCAGATACAAAATGAAATGCTTGATGAAAAAAAATGGCTTTTGCCAAAAGCAACTGTCTTATTTTAGAATAATTATACTGGAATCATGGCCACACACAGACATACATATTTCTGTCAGTATGATTATTAATGTAAGTCAAACTAGCTTCTCCACACACGCCTGTGACACGAGGACTGATCTGAAGTCTAGTCTTTTAACTTACAAGCTTGATTCCTAATTGCTGGAGATTGTTCAAAGACATTTTACTGTTTGAAATGAAGGACAAAAAGACATTTTCCTCATTCCCCATACAGACATTCTTTGATAGCATCCTGGGAGACAGTTTTATCTAAGAGAAAAACAATCACTGAGTTTGCATAACATATTTACCCATATTGAACTTATCCATGGTTTGCTCACCAATTCAAAGGACCGGATTTCCATAACATGTTTGTCTGGAAAGTAATCATACAGATTGCCATTGCACAATCTGCTAGGTTAAACTATGGTTGTTTTGATTTATACAGCTCAGTGTGCCCAGCCACAAAATGCTCCAAAGTCAAGCAGCACGTTTTTAAACTAGTTCTCATGTAAAAGCTCATAAAAACAGGTGTGACTCACTTAATGACCACCTCACTAGAAGTTCCTCTCTCAATTGTGGTTATAAGTCAAGGACTACCTGCAACCAATTTCCTCTTTACTATATTAAAAGGAGGAGGGATACATCTTTAGTGTCATTCCTAGAATATTCAAAAGCATTATTACCTCAACAATCCTCACAACAGTCTTTTCAATTATTATTCCCATGACACATAAGCAGGAGAGGCTGAGAGAGAACCTCTTAATTAAAATGGTTTGCTAGTGAACTTAGTTGAATAATGGGCATATTATTGTTCACCACTTTACCTCCTCAGTGACTTCACACAGTGTGTTCATTTGACACTGATGAAAAATCACACAAATAACCATTGAAAAATCGCACTGCTGGTTTGTTGAAGAAATAGAGAGATTACTTCAGATTTGCAAAGTTTACTTTTCTTTTTCTAAAAAAATACCCAGGACACAGGTATAAAACACATGCATTTAAAAAGAAGAATTTCATGTCCACAAATTGATTACAGAACTGAATTGTTTAACTTCCTTCCACATACCAAAAAAAATGTGTTTCTGATTATTTCCAACTTTGTCCACTGTAGTTTAAAGTACGCGGAGACAATTTTGTTTCTGCAAATAAATTCTCTCTCAGAGGTCCATTGCTACCACCCATTTCTCAAGCTTAATGTCATTTCAAGCACAGTAACAATTTTCAATGGGGGCAAAGCACTGTAAACTTTGCTGGATGGTGCAAAACTGCTCAAAGCATGATGCAAAACTGCTCAGAGCATGATGATCTTTCACTTCTCAGATCATCTTTTGCTCCCTTCTTAGATAAGAACAGTAACCATGATCTTTTTTAAGAACTACCTTTCATCAGATCAGGATTCTACGCCTGCATTTTGTTCTTAAAAATAATATCTTAAGCCCAGAGAATGACAGTAGAATGAGCAAGTGGGTATCTTACTCTTTATTTGTATTACCCAAAATATATATTTCATTTGATTTAAAAGTTGCAAAGTATTCTTTCTATAAATCAGACTAGAGCCGATTTAGCTTCTTAGCCTGACTTTAGGCAACTTTCTTCTTATTCATAAATATTGACTACTGTTCTAAACAGAAATTATTTAAATTGCTTATCTCCATTGGCCTGGAGTTCAAAAAACACTGTAGGCTTGTCAGCCAAATGTCCAGGTAAAAACAATTCATTTCTACTCTTACGAATGCTAGACATATTGCTGATAAATCATATTTGATTTCATGAATTTGCTTTGTAAATGTTTTAGAATGCAACAAATTTTATAAATCTAAAATCATGTTCATTTTTAATTATTAATATATTATTTAGTTATTAATATATTATTAAACAGATATCCCCAAGGAAGAATACATTTGCTATTAATGCAACAGGATCTGTTATTTTTTCTTTAAATTACTCTTTCTTTCCAAATATATTTCTGGCTCACTCATCTTTGGAAAGCATCACCTTAAACTCAAATATGTGGTTGGGGTATTCATGCACCATTGGTTATCATGATTACATTTCTCAAACATTTGCATACTCAGAAGTGGTTTCCATGGTGAAAAAGAAACCTTGAAAAATTACCTATGAACTTCCCTAGTTGAATAATTGTAGTGCTTTTTTCCTTAAAAAATCTCCACAATAAATTCAGTCCCTTAGATATTTCGGGTATCTGAACTGCCACCATAATAACCAAAATATGCACAAAATTATTGGAAATTCTTTTATATCTGGACAAATATATAGTGGGCATGCATTACAATAAGCCATGATACATTTTGTTTAATTTGAATTTAGCATTTTGGATAAAGTCAATCCCTATGGTTTGCAAAATAGGCAGGCTGCAGTATATCATAGTATACAAACCAGTGATTGTGCTTATGCAACAAGCTAATCACTTTTTGGATAAATATGTGTTAACCCAGATTATTTATTAATTTACTCAGTGTTGTCTTTCCTGACTTGAAATAGCACTCTCAACCCTCAGGTATACATACATATTGCTTTTTCTATGTGTTCTATCCTCTGCCCCTTTTCGTCTTGGTTGCAACTTGGCCCTTTCTTCCTTCAAGACCTAATAGGGTCTGCTATATAGGTTGTTTTTTGTTTTTGACACCTCAAACATTGAAACAAGGGGCAGTCCTGTAAACAGTCTATGAGCACAGCCTAAGCACACAAGTCACAATATAGATAACTGTGCCTGGCTAACCAAAAAGAATTTGGTTAGTAGGACCACAACTGAAGCACTACCAAACATGTGAAAGAAAACCAAAGCTCTTCTTCAATAGTTAGGCAGTTTGGTCTATGCATACTGGGGTGAAGGGAGTACAAACTGGAGACAAAGCAGAGTGAAGACATTCCTGATCCATTTCCCACCAACCATTTCAGTGGTTCTAGCTCTCTCTCCCCAAAATATTTTCTTTCCCATCACTATTAGGCCCCAAGATTATCTCACCCATGCACTCCAGTTCCCAGAACTGAGAAAACAGCTGGTAGGGATCTGTAATAAAGAAGTATGAAATGAGAGGGAAGAAAAAAATGTTTGTTTTGCTTCCAAAGTATTCATTTGAAATAATTTATGTCTTCCAGAGATTTGTTCTTTTTTTGAAAATACTGAATGAAAATTCACTCCAACTCCATATCAATCTTCTTGTAATTTTTTTCAACATGACTTCAGTTTTCAACCTTCCCCTGAATCAAACAGTTTATCTACATCCCAAAGGGTTTAAAACTATTCTGTTTAAACCATCCAACTGTAGTTCAACTAAAAGAATAGCCTGGTCAAGACTCAGTGGTGAGATCCCCTCTCTCCTAAATCCAGCTTTTCAAATGCTTGATTTACCCCACTCCAAAACAGAAAAGTATTTTTTCTTCATGAGTGCAATCAATAAACTTAAGGAGGTTAAGAAACAGTGGAGGAAAACACAAAAGCAAAACCCAGCATTAAATCAAATTAGACAGCCTGGTGTTGTTTAAAGGGGGAGAAACAAGCTCAAGATCCATGAGCTCACTGGTCTGAAGACAGTCATTATCTTTCAGGTCAATCTACCTCATAGGGTTATTGTTGGGGGGGATAAAAAGGCCTAAAGCATACCACTTGAGCTTCCAAAGTACAGGCAGAATATAAATAAAGCCAACAGACAAATAATATAGGTAATATCTGATTTCATCTGATATTAAAGATGTACAAACAGAGAGATATTGCTTGCAAATCACCAGTGTGAAGAAAAGGCTTCAACCTAACTCAAAAATTATACTTCTGTATTGCTGGTTAATTAATCCGTGGTAATTTCTAGTTCCCTATTCAGAACTACAAGATAGTCTGAGCTTCATCTTTTCATTCACATAAGCCTACTCTGATGTTTATTTTGATGAAAAAGCTGAATTGCTACCATCCGCTTGAGTCAGTCCCATCACTAGTCCTTACTTACCTACAATTAAACATGGTTAATTAACCTTCGGCGGTATATTGCCCCAAGATAATAACTCCATCCAATTCCTTTAGGAGCTAATGGTTTCTTATAGGTGCCGAGCCTAGAACACTCGCCCGGCGTCTTCATTCCACCAACGATGTCCCACAGTTCTTGTCCAGCGCTCATCTTAGTCCTTGAAGGTGACCGGGCGGAATTCCTTTCCCATAGCTGCTCTCCCCACAAGGCATCACAATGTCCACCTCTTTACGATAGCCAGCAGACCGCGTTACCTTCCCCCCACCCGCACTCCCCCTCTGCCCAGGAAAACCGCGCAAAAGCTCAACTCACCATGGCGCAGTCAGGCGGACGCACAGACGGGACGGGCTCGCCTATCTGTGGCTGCCGCCTCCAGTCGAGATTCCGCGCGTTGCGTCCCCTTCCCCGCCTCGGCCTGCTAGCCCAGCCTGGAGCCACCCCCTGGCAAAAATCCCGGCCCCCGACACCGCGGCTGCCTATAGCTGCAGTCCCCGCTGGAGCCCGGGTAAGGGCACGTGGAGAAGCGACTGCGGCAGCACTGAGTGAATGGGGAAAGGAGAGGAGGGGGAAAACAGACTCGGACGTCGCTTTTGCTCTCCGCCTCCTACAAGTACCCTTGAGAAGAGAGCCGCGAGTCCTTCGAGAATATCTCAGCTCGATTGGGAGTCGCCCCTCCAGACGGTTCACTCGGCGCTTTATATTGCATCGGAAGTAGTTAGGGAAGTGCTTCTGAGCTTGTGCAGAGTGTATTTCTCTTGAATCAAAGAAAACGATAATCCATACCTCCGTGTTCGGCAAGCAAAGTTAAAACAACTGTCTGTATCACGCCAGGTAGATTGCATTCTGGCATTTTTTTGAAACCCAAACTTTGTTTTCTCTGTGAAAGAAATATATTAAAAAAAACGTTTTAAATAAATCGTATCTTTGGAGAGTCAGTGCGATGCAGTAATTAGAGGATTGAATTAGGAGGGGAAACCAAATCACCTTGATGCTGTCAGTGACTGGACTCACAACAACTTAACCTGGTTACTTAATTCATTTGTGGGTTTCTGCAATGAATCGTAATTTAACTCAAGCCAAACTCAACCTGAATAATTAAAACATCTGAAAGGCACACATATAGCTGCTCTAAAGCAGCAGCCAGGCCTTTATATCAGCTGGTTGTGAGCAAAATCCAGACAACAAACTATGGTTGAGAACTTAGTTTGAACCCAGTCTTTCTATTGTTAAGATGTGTGATATGAACAGTTTTTGTTGTAAATACCAGCAAAACCATGATTTAGATTATTGTGTAACAAAACCAACATCTTTCAGTCCAATCTATTGTACTTTGCAAAGATGTTGAGAGGATATAGCAGAGACCAGCATTGTGTATTCTATATTTCATTATTGGAAGAGAGATGAAATATAAACGTAATCATAAAGAAATGTTCTTAAGTGGAGCAACTTTGAAAATTGCTGGTTCATGTTGCTTTTAGGTAGTATTTGAATTACTGTAAGCCAGAGGTGGCTGTCTCCTTGGTTACAGTTGTTAGAAGACTGGGCAGCATGTAAAAAAGGACAGGTTACTGCACCTCTAATAGTTGTGTAAAAAAAACAGGAACACTTTAACGTGCATGCTAAATGAGGTTGATGCCGGAGTGTGCAAACCAGGATTTACTTCTTAGCAACAAGAAGCATGCTGGGGACCATCTACTTAAACAAAAATGTAATTTGTCTTCTTTTAAAATACAGTATCAATAACCACTACCACAATTATTTAATCCCTAATCCTATTTATCAGTTTCATTACTAAAACTGGACAATACAGTGAGTCCTCGAGTTACAACATTCATTTAGTGTCTGTTCAAAATTACAGTGGCACTAAAAAAGGTGACATATGACCGTTTATCACACTTATAACCGTTGCAGCATCCCCATGGTCATGTGACCAAAATTTGAACACTTGGCAACTGACTCATATTTATGACAGTTGCAGTGCCCTGGCGTCATGTGATTAGTTTTTGTAAACTTCTGACAAGCAAAGTCAAAGGAGAAGTCAGATTCACTTAACAACTCTGTGATTAACTTAATAACTGCATTGATTCACTTAACAACTGGGAAGAAAGATCATAAAATGGGGCAATCTTCAAATTATCAAAGTAGGGATTTCCAAAGAACTATTAGGGACCAGGGGTCTGGGGAAGTGAACCAGATGGTTGGCTTGCTCACTAGTTGCTCACTCATAAATCTGCACATGCCAAGAGGCAGCTGGATAGGACCCATTCACAAAGGTGTCAGGGTAAACACACACACACACACACACACACCCACACAACTGCAGTCAAAGTCCTACCTTGCTTTTAGCTAAACAGTATTCAATAGTGCAGTTACAATCACCATGCTGATTTTTAGATCACCCCTATGGACCTCTCAAACTCTCCCTCCTTAGGTGCCCAGCAGTTCAATTGGTTTGTGAAAAATGGATCATGGCTTTAAAAGTGGCTCAATAAAACAGAACAGTGCTAGTAGCTACCTTACTAATATTTAGAAAACTGAAGTACTGAACAGATCTTGACTGTGTTGTCCCAGGTGTAATCCCATAGAATAATCCCACAAAGAAAAATCAAACTGGGAGGTACTGTGATAAATGTCTAAAAATTGGCTTTTATGAGAAATTGGGATTTCTTGTTGCAAGGCCTTTTGCGCTCCAGCCAGCAAATCTGTGTTAAGAATTAACAATAGAATAGAATAGAATAGAATAGAATAGAATAGAATAGGATAGGATAGGATAGGATAGGATAGGATAGGATAGGATAGAATAGAATTATTTATTGGCCAAGTGTGATTGGACATAAGGAATTTGGTGCATATGCTGTCAGTGTACATAAAGGAAAAAAAATGTAAAGAATCATAAAATGCAACACTTAGTGATAGTCATAAGTTACTAATAAGCAATCAAGCCATATTGGAAACAAATAAAACAATATAAATTGTAAAGATACAAGTAACATGGTTATAGTCATAAGTGGGAAGATAGGTACTAGGAAGTGTTATTATAATCTAGTAGTAGATGAATAATAGTAATACAGTGGCATGAAGTACATAAAATAATTCAATTGGTAAATAAATAATTTTCAAGGAATGATTTAGTTTTAAAGGGTCTTTAAAAATGGAAGGGATGGAAAGAAGTGCACAATCGTTACTTATTTGTGGGTGGGGAAAAAAACCTTAAAGGCAAAAAATCTGTGGAATGGTGTTTAATTGGCTGGAATCCACTTTTGTTAACTGTTTATTTAGACCACAGTTACAGGATGTTTGATATATGTTACACTTTGATTAAGTGGATTTAATGCACATTTACAAATCCATAATCATATTTGTTGTATTTATACCAGAACTATTGATACCTAGGTAACATACAAAGCATCAACCCTGAAGGACGAAGGCAGGGGTTTCTTTTAACCAGGCATTTAGTCCTAATAGTTGCCATCTGCCTCTCTCCAGATTGTCTATAAATTTATTTTTTGTTTATCCTAAATATTTGGCAATGATATACTTTCTCTGAACATGGAATGTGGTTTAGAAAAGGTATAACAAGTACAGAAGCATTGGAGGGGGAAAAAGAGGTAAATGTCCAAAATTGGCTTCCAGGTGTTGTTTACTGTTATCCAATAAAGTAAATTAACTTCTGCCACAGTTTTTAATCTTTTTAAACTTTCTGTGTTTGCCAATGCAGAATCACAACTAACCAACATAACTATGGGATAAATGGTACAAATTCTAAATTAACTTTTGTTCTCCAATTTCTAGTAATTAACTGCTGGGCCACACACAGACATTCTAATACAGACCAGCATTGTTTCAGTATATGTCAATAGGAGGAAAGGGGTACTTTTTTCAAGATTTTTCTTTTAGTGTCTGTTTGGATTCCAGGAAAAAATATATATATAAAGCAAACTAACTAAACTTTCCAGCCGATTTGGTTCCAGCTGGGCTAAGCCCGAAATGAAAGAAGGACAGGGTAGAATAAGGATTTTTAGATCCGAGAAGCTGGCAGTTGCAGAGAAAGTCAAATGACTTTGCTTTCATCAGCTTCCAGACTTTCAGCTAGAAGAACAAATAAGTTTAAGGAGTATTTTTTTTTTTATTAGAATCCTATAGGCAAGAAAAGCAGACTGTGAGGTAAAGACAGCTTTCTGCCAACCCAGTTGGGCCTCCTAGCCTCCCCTTCCCCCTTCCTACATCCCCCTCTTGCCTGCCCACTCATTTCCTGCCAGTGTCATGTAGCCTCTTCTCTATGTAGGCTCTGCACTGAGGTTTTTCCTTGGTTCCCCTTTTAAACGTTGCTTCCCTGCTGCTCAGTTCCCTGTCACCTTCATCCCCTTAGACTGGTGCCGCTTACATCCATTCTTCCCTTAGTTTAATCTTAAGGAATACAGAAGAATCTGTTTCTGCAAAACAATATGAATAACAGGGTACATGAAAATCACATTGCCAGGGCCTAAATATGATTACTGTCATGATGGGTTATAGCACACTAAAAATTTTGTTAATGTTGTTGTGGGGTTTTTCTTTTTCTTTTCTTTTTTTGCTTGTCTTCCCATCCAAGAGGATAAGTTAATTCTGCTTATTCTGCACTTTGGATGTTGGCTGTACTCATATTCCCACTTGTTATTCACCACTTACTTTAATAACATTTGTTTTGAAAGGAAAAAAAGAACTAGATCCATTTTTTTTTCCTTGCAGTGGAATCCAGGGTAGACTATAAATTGGAAATCTAGCCAGGTACAGATAGTCCTTGACTTACGACCACAAATGGAACCAGAATTTCCGTTGCTAGGCAAGATGGTTTTTAAGGTAAGTTACTTTTTTCAGTGTTATTGTAACTTTTAATAGTCATTAAATGAATGGGTATAAATTGAGAAGTACCTATATCAACTGTCCTACACTTTGTTTAGCCCCCCCCCCCCAAGGTTCCTGTACTAAATGCCTTTGCACAGATATGTCATATGCATCCTTGTGTCCCTCACATCCAGTTTCCTAAATGACCTATTCCTCTGAACATATTTAAACTGCTTTTCCTTACTTTTCTGAGTCACTATAACAGCAACAAGCCATCAGGATTAGAGAAAACATCTTGTAAGAGATAAGCTCCACATGTTTAAGTTCAAGAATCAAGATTTCTTCCAGAATTGCTTTCCATTCTAACTTACTCCCAGGGGAAGTTTTCTTCTAGACTCTGCATCTTTTTCTGGTAAATGTTGTCAAAAGATTCAGACTATGCCACAGTAAAATGAGAGTTCTAGTCTCCACAAATACCTGAAAAATAAGATTGAAGACAGCAAAATGTATGTGCATACAGTGGAATTAAATGAAAATGTTCTTGATCCATAGAAATCTGAATCTCTTTATAGAGGTCCTTCAGAGTGAGTTACACTTGTGGTGGCTATATGG